GCTGAGCCCAGACTCATGGAGCCTGTCTATCTGGTGGAGATCCAGGTAGGTGCTGTGCGCGTGTAGTCTGCATTTTGTTTCTTCTAGTTACTTGATATACCTGAGACGAGTTTAGGCCTATGATTAATCCTTTTTACTTTTAAAGTTGCTTGTCACACCTTTTAGGGTTTTGGAAGGGCACAATGGATTCGTTACAAAAAATTTTATTTATCACACACAACTGTTAAGATTTTACAGTTGCATTTCTATTTCACAGATTTTGGTATTGTTTATTCAACCCAATATCTCTTGCCTATTCTGCAGTGTCCTGAAGTTGCAATGGGTGGAATCTACGGTGTGTTGACCAAGAGGCGTGGTCACGTGTTTGAGGAGTCCAGTGTGATGGGAACACCCATGCGTGTCATCAAGGCCTACCTGCCTGTCATGGAGTCATTTGGTATGTCTTTGTTTTTTTATTTTTTTTGTTTTTTGTTTTTTTTAAATAAGCCAAGCAGCAAAACCATGTGTTCCAAAGCAGTGATCATCTTGATTTTATATTTAGTGTTATTCTTTGTTTTTGTTCGGTTTTTTTTTTTCTTTTCTTTTTTTTTTTGGCTACATTTTAGTGACTGAGGCATTAAAATATGATACTTTTGTCTGAAGTTGACATTTAAGTCATTAAATTTAGGGTGAGGTCACAGGTGTCACCTTAGTGTGCAGTCATCATGGTTATCTAGTGTTCTCTTGGAGATGAGGAATGGGAAAAGGCTCTGTTTGCCTTCTCATATCAGACTGCAATTGTTTGCACACATGGCGCCTATTTCACTGTTCTGTCTGCTGTCAAGTGTACAGTGCTTAGTAAATAGTTATCAACAGTCCTGTACTCTTTTCTGCCAAGTACATAAGTAAGCCAGTTACGTAATTTTAACATGATGTGGCCTCCACTTGCATTTTGTTGTTAATTTTCAGTTGGATTGGATATGTTATGTTTTCTAATCCCTGAAAGAAACAATAGCTAATTGACATAATGTCACCGAAACCCAAGATGCTTGTTTTTAGTACGATTCAAATACTAAACTTCTGAAGAGGAGATACTATTGGCAGCAAATGATAATTGTTTCACCACCAGAGGCAAACGGTGTATGATTCTGCATATGCAGGTAGATGGGTATAAACAAACATACAAAGAATATAATGAGTTGTATATTGGTGTTTCACATTAATTTGAGCCCTGAAATGCAATTCTTCATAGATTGTGCTACTTTTTAGTTTTTATTATAGATTAAAAAAAATAATTGTTAGCCTGGATTTTATACGCTCTACAAAGATATATTCCAGTGTGTGTGCCAATTACGCAAGTTGACTGTGTTGTGTACATGCTAGCATGTACTTCAACAGATTACAGCAGCATTGTGAATGATTTGAAAGCAGCTCACAGTAGCAGACAGGTGCCGGGTATAATTTCACTTGCACCCATTAAAACATATTTTGCTCTGTCCATTCCCAGGTTTCACAGCTGACCTTCGCTCCAACACTGGTGGCCAGGCCTTCCCACAGTGTGTGTTTGACCACTGGCAGATCCTTCCAGGAAACCCAATGGACAGCTCAAGCAAGCCTGGTGTAGTTGTCATGGAGACACGCAAACGTAAGGGTCTCAAAGAAGGTATCCCAGCCTTGGACAACTACCTGGACAAATTGTAAAAGCCTGAACCCACCTGGCTCATGCCTCATTCCTCGTTTCCCATCAAATTTAAGTCTACATCATGGGACCGGACTGTACAGAACATAGGGAGCACTAATGTTTGCCAAAAGCATTGACAATAATGAATAAACATCTACAAAAATTGTAAACGATAATAAAAGAAAATAAAAACTTTTATGGTTCAGGCTGTTTTTTGTTTTTTCTGTTTGTTTTGCGGGGGGGGGTGATCATGTGGATGCTGTTAAGTTATTTTCTGTTATTTAAAGGGCTGTGGTGCTGTTTATATTTCTTTCATATCGTAAAATGATTTTCAGGTCGAATTTCAGTTTCAGTCGAATTTCAATTTCTTTTTTTTCCTCCAACAGTGCAACCTTCTTGTCTTGCTATCCTTATTTCTTACCTTAGACATGTTTATGGTCTACTGTAATGTCTGGGGGCTGCTATGATGTGCTGAATACTGAAGATTTGATGTAAAGTTGGTTGCACAAAGTTGCATCACATTTCTGTGATGCATTTTTATGTCCAGTTTGACTAAGACACAAACTTAAATTTAAAAGGTGAGTGGAAAACGGTAGAAACACGGTTCTTGAAAGGAGTACAGCTGTACTACTGAAGTGAGTGGGATTGTGTTCAGATTACAGCCAGATCAGAACATTCGAACAAGTTTAATACCATGCCCACAAAGAATGCCTGACATGACAGAATATGTGCCTAATTTGCAGATAATATTGATGGAGCTGCCTCATTTGTAATTATTGCTTCAAGTTGGTAGCTAAATTTATATCTGAAGGTTTATAACATTTCCATGAAACCTTATTGCAGTTGTAACAATGGGTTATTACCAAAAAATGGGAATTAAAATGTTGATTGCTGATATAGCAATTACGTGCATCTATATCAACAATAAAACCAGGCCCAAGACCCATTTTCAAAGTGATCGTTGATGTCATGGTTTTTGTCGAGTACTCGCATCAACAAAGAATTTTTTTTTTTTTCTTTTTGTAATCAAGTTATTGTGAAAGGTAATGACATGGTAAATTTATTTATATATTTATATATATATATATATATATATTTTAATTAGGAGGGTAAGCTTACACTTTTAAGTTATAAACCATCATTTTACCCTTTTGGAATGTTGAAGGTTTCAATTAGGTTAACGTGCAATGGTTTAGTAATTCAAATTTCTGGCACCACAACTGAAAGAACAGATACCCATGTTGGTATACTTGCTCTGGTCTAATTAGGTGACTTCCCCCAACTCTACAGAGATGACCTTTATGATACTGCGGGGCTCAGTTATTAAGATGTTATGTACACACTATGTTGTAGCAGTAAAACTATCCTTCAGAGGCAGCCAAACAAGCTGTTGAAGTTGCTGCTTTCCAACATGTGTCTTTGGGTTCAAGCCCAACTCAACCGTGACTAATTTGTTCTGTCAGAACTTAAGTTTGTGATAAATTCTGTTTAACTCCCAGACTTTGAAAACCATGAACAAATTCTTCTATCAATTGCTTTTGTAGCTAATAACCTAATAGATTGCAAAATGGAGGAGAACTCTTTGTGTGTTTATTCTCTCTAAGGGGTTTGATCCAAATAAATTTTGAATTCTGGTAAAAGAAATAAGGCACAGCAGACAATGTGGAGACAATGATCCACAACCAGATAACTGTTTTTGGTTTCAGTAACTGCTTCTGAAAGAAGTGGATGTGCATATTGCCCTCCTGTATTTGTACGCCAAACATCAATTTGCACCAGTCTATACAAATAAATATTAGAATTTATTTTTATATTTATATTAGAATTCGATTTCTTGTGGTTGTTTTGAAACCAGATGTTAGAGTGCCGACACATGCTTTCATTGAAACTGGCTTAATGAATTCAAAAGTTTAAAGGTGCAGTTTCTTGCTGTGAGCACTGGAAGGAGTTGTCTTTGATGCTATTCTATAAGGTGTTATCATGCTCTATAAGGGTTATTCTTTTCCACCTTCTGATATGACACCTTCACTTGAGCCAGTTGACACACCTATTGGAAAACTGTTTTATGCCTGCTTCCTGTAAAAGAAAAAACAATAGGAATATCCGCAGCTAGTGCGGCTAGTTGTATCTCTGTTCCTTATGTGATCGCAATCTGGAATGGTCTTGTTCAGGATATAGACTGGGACAAGACATGGACTCTTCCTAACAGATTTCTACTAGTTAACAAAGTTAAAGAGATTTCTTTTAAGATCATCCATCGTTGCTATCCTGTCAAATAATTTTGAGTAAGATTCAAGAAAGACAGTGACGTAAACTGCAGTTTTTGGACTTGTGAACACAACTGTAATCTGTGGCAAGGCATCTGTCGCTTCATTTTGGACTTATTTATGAAGCTTTTTTACTTTTTTTGAAGGATGTATTGTAATCTCATCATACTACCTGCCAAGTTTTGTATCCATAAATGTAAGGTGTTAAAAACTAAACCCTCTTTTTGTACTTTTAAGAAGGAAGCAGAGTCCTATATCAGAACATTATCTACCTCATGTAATAGTAAAGCTGTAAAAAAAAAACCCTTCAATCTGTGCTCCAAATTTTAAATATTAATATAATTTAGTTATATAGTTATTTAGTTAGTTATAGTATACTTTAACAAAAAATATCTTTCTTATTACAGCATTTTCAGTTTATATTTGTGTATCTGTTTATAACCCCTGGCGCTGCGCATATTTGTTGTCTGTCTTTGTTAATTATGTTGGACTACTTCTTTTGTGCCTTACTTTGAATATGTAATGTAATTAATAATAATAAAAAAAAAACACTGGAAGGTGTTGAACACCATCCACATACATTGATGGATACGCTTCCGGCAAAGACTTTCAAAATAAAACTGAGGCAGGGCACGTTAATTTATTCTCGTTGAAACGACACCCACATCTTGCCACAATTACGGCATATTATCCATATTAGGGAAGCATGAGAACATATATGCCTTATTACAATAGTAAAGTTCAAGATTTTATGAAAACGGTTTTTAATTTTAGCTCATTAGAGACTGCCAGTAGTGGAAAATAACTACAAACATTTACTCAAGTACAAAATACAATTTTGAAGTACGTGTATTGAACTTAGTATTTCCCTTTAGTGCTACTTTATACTTCCACTACAATAATTATCATCCTCTAAGAATTACTATGCAACAAGGGAAAACTTTGAGTAATCTAGCTTTATGTGTTTTACTGGTACATGATATATACCAGTATACGCATACTAGTGAGTGGGCTGAGGGAGTATGTAGTCAGCCAATCATGAGTCTGCGCACCGACCAATCAAATGACAGGCAGGCAGGCTTCTCTTCCTGTTTGGCCAAAGGATTCATTATCGGGTGAGTAATAAAACGTTTATCCTAAAAAGTAGAAACAATTGTATAAAACCGCCACTGTCCTGAGTCAATAAACATTATTGAACGTACTAATATGTATTTTGCTGTATTATTATTTTTCCTTTGGGGGAGGAGCAGTTTGGATTACCTTTGTGTCCGTTGTGTGTGTGTGTTACAACAGTGCGGCCAGTTAGCCTCACTGAACTGCTAGCAGGCAGGTTAGCATCAGAAGCGGCAACACTGTGGGGTCATTAATGCTGAAATGTACAATTGCTCATATCTTGTTTTTTTTTTTTTTTTTTTTTTTTTTTTTTCACAACTTCTCACGCGCTTTTGTGCACACACACCTTCCACGACACAACCCTGACGGATAAATACGTGTTTTCATACTTTAACGGAAGGAGATCATGGGAGGGATCAAACAGGAGCAGAGTGATGCATCGCAGCAGCCCAGAGCCTCGCATTCAGCGGATCAGCCACAAGAGGAGGTAAGTACTGCTACGTCTGATCACGGTAAACAGGGTTTGTAAATTGCTTTAAATTTGCCTCCTTATTTGCATACACGGCTGTCCTGTTTTGAATTCCATTGAGCATTTTGTTTAAGGAGTTTTACTATACAGTTCACTATATGCTCACTTGCCATTGTTTGGTAAACTTAAAGTAATTCACACTATTACAACAGACCTGGAGTAAATCTTACTTTCATATAGGTTATAAATATACAGAAGGCGACAAAATATCAGGATTTTAGTTAACTCTTTGAAAAAACATGCGATGTTGACTGGATGGGTGGAGGTTGACTAAGCATACATGCTCTCTCTGCATGACAACTTCCAGTCAATGAATAAGATTAACTAATGGCAAAAAGAGGAAATATCTCTTAATATAACGCAATACAATTCAACAGCACTACAAACTATAGCCTCCTAAATGACAATAACAGAAATAACACTGTTTGTATTAGTTTATGTAGTGGAGCTGAAACAATTAGGCAATTAATCAATTATTCAGTCAACATGAAGTTAAACCATTTTGAGAACTGATTGATTAATTGTCTTTTTTTTTTTTTTTAAGTAAAGATGCCAAAAATTCTGGTTCCAGCCACTTAAATATGAATATTTTCAAATTTTCTTAGTGTTTTATAATGGTTTATTGATTATCTTTGGATTGTAGAGTTTTGGTTGGACTCTTCAGTGTGATTTCCTGATATTTTACTGACCAAACAGTGCTGTTTCCCTTCTCTGCAGCCTAAAAAGAGAGGTTGGCCAAAAGGAAAGAAAAGAAAGAAGGTGCTACCAAATGGTCCCAAGGCACCAGTAACAGGATATGTCCGCTTTCTGAATGAACGGCGGGAACATATGCGGGCCCGATATCCTGACTTACCTTTTCCAGAAATCACTAAGAGACTCGGAGCCGAGTGGACAAGATTAGCCCCAAATGACAAACAGGTAACATTTCAAATTTTCCACATTTACACAGGGTATATTCAGTGTCATGGGTATTCAATGTTGCTTTATTACTGGGCCCGTTTGACAGATATTCACAATGACACATGGAAATCTAGTCAAGAATATAAACACAGGTGTTATTGCTGTATTTGAGTTTTGCCACTAGGAGAATCATTATTTGTCTTGTTCACATTCATAAAGATTTTGTTCAGAGGTGTTCTTTCCACTTTGATGGTTGTGAAATCTGCGTGCTTTAAAAAATATTTTTATGATAAAACGAACATGATTATTTCTCTAAAAGAAGGTTTCAAATCTTTAAGCAAGATTGATTTTTCCCCCTCAATAAAATAACAACATTATTTGTGTACTGGCAGCGCTATCTGGACGAGGCGGAGCGGGAGAAGATGCAATATGCCCAGGAGCTGAAGGAATATCAGCAGACTGAGGCCTATCAGATCACCAGTGCTAAGATACAAGACAAAAGGATCAAGAAAGGTGATTGATTTCTACTCATGTAATGTTAATGCCTCTAAAATAACCACCACATCACCAGGACAAAGGGCAAGACGCTGTAAATTTCTTATTCCATTAGTTTATTCCATCTGAGCTGTACTGGACATAAATTTTTTCTCTTTCAGAAGACACTCCATCTGTCATCATCAGTACTAGTTCAGGGTCATCTTTAACAAAGGTACACGTCTACATCTTCCTCACTGTATATTCTGCAATGTCATTATTATATAGAATGCACACAGCTAAGTTGTCCATTTGCTGATTTTGTCCCTTCAGGCTTCTGACCTCTCAAGCAGATTCGACATCCCTATCTTCACAGAGGAGTTTCTTGATCAGAACAAAGGTAACCAAGGAACTGAAAATGGAAAATAATCATTCTGACATGAAGCACAAAGCTGTGTGTTCAGCATGGCCATTGTGCCATTACCTTGTTGGCTAAAAGGACATTAACTCTGTAGGTGTTATGTTCTATCTAAGATAAAGCATCTAGGTCTAATCTTATACTCTCATCAAATGTTTTTTATACTTCACTCTTTGTGGTTTCAGCTCGTGAGGCTGAGTTGCGACGGCTTCGTAAGGCCAACATTGAGTTTGAGGAGCAGAATGCGGTGTTGCAGCGGCACATTAAGGACATGTACAACGCTAAAGAGCGCCTGGAGGCTGAACTGGGGCAGGATGAGAAGCGCACCCAGGCTCTTCAGCAGCACTTGTTGGCCATTAAACACACGCTGGTCAACAGTCTCTCATCAGTCCCCCTCCCAGGTCAGAAGTCAGGTGACTGAATTTAGTCAGAGGGAAGACACATGGAGAGTAATAATCCTAAATGATATCTCCTAGTATGATATTATATTTTCATGCTGAGTTCATTTAATTTAATTTTTCATTATAAATGCACTGATAATGTTAACCTTCTTAATGACTAGTTTATTTGATTTTTAAATATCTATAATACAAACTGGATGATCTTAGGAACTGCTATATCAGAGCTCAAATTTCATTATATTTAAAAAAAAAAAAATATATACATATATCAATCAATGACATGTAAATTTGACTCTACTATTTTTCTTTTACAGGTACAGGTGAGACAGCCTCTCTTGGGAACCTGGACTCATACCTGAGTCGTCTCAGTGGAGTGCTGGAGGGAAACCCCCACAAGCACCGTGCTCTGCTCACCCAGCTTTGTGAGGTCCTCTCTCATTTTGACAGGTAACTGAAACCTCTTCAACACATATATCATATGTGTGTCACAGCCGACTAAACATGCATTTAAACCTGTGTTTGACCACTGATACCATCCACTGATCACGGGTACGCGCCTACCACCTACACATCAGGTAGTTCTGAATACATCAGTCTAAAAACATAGTGTTATCTGGATCATACCAGATATCAGATAGGTGTGTCTATTAAATTGGCATGTGAGTGTTGATTAATTTAATCACTGTATGTATTTGTCATAGCAACCCTTTCCTTGAACTGGAGAATCAGTATATTTACTGAAGACTTAAAACTTAAAAATCTTATGGCATGGATTTATACAGTCACTGGAGTAATATGCACTTAAGAAAATCACTGGCATTTATGCATCATCAAGGAATGTATTTGAAATGATTACAGACTATAATGTTACTTTAAGCCATTTTCTCAGTCATACATGGCCATTAAAGGAAACAGACAATATGACAGCTGAATAACAGCGTTAGATGACACATGGTGTAACGTGTTGTTACCATAACAGCAGCGGTGCATAAATTACTTGTTCCACCTGTTAATAATCCTATTATTTAATTCTTGGGAGATAAAAAGTAAACAAAACGTTTCTGTCTTGCTGGCATTGCACCTTAAACAAAGCACTCCAAGATGCCTGTGTATAGCTGTTTTAGCTCTTATGTACTGCTGTGACAAGCCACCTGTACCATCGGCTACATGGATGCGTCACCCCAGCCCTAACCGACTGTCATTTAATATTTTTCTTTTTATGTTCATCGAGAGCCGCTCATCAAAACAACTCCACAGTCAAGACTGCACTTTCTTAGGTCCTCAGGGTTACACATGTGTAGTTTGAAGTTGATCAGTTGAGCGCTCGTTGAGAAAATTGAAGGAGACAGACAGACACAAAGACAGACTAGCCTGTCTACTAGCCTTTGTAGACATATAATCTCAGTGGCATTAAACATGCAGAGTAGTATGATAGGTCCAAGGGGAAATTACATGGGATATTGGGGGAAAAGATGAGTTGCTCAGTTCTAGAGTGTGTTTAGTTGAAATCTTTTTATAATCTGCTGAGTGTGTAAGCAGCCCTTCTAGAGAACATTAACAATTGGCCTCAAGGGAATCTGAGTTTGAGAAAGCTGTTTTAAAATGTTTTATCATCATTAAAAGTGGTTGCGATTCAGTGTAGTGGACAGTTCCCACAAATCAGTTTTTTCTTCGTCTGTCAAATTGTTAAAACTTAAGGAATCACTTTGACTTTACCATCATGTTAAAGTATGTTTTCAGTCAATTTATTATCGGCTCCGATATATTTATTTTCTATAGTAATCTTTGCAGTTAAAACCAGTAAGCAAAGATAACCCCAAAAGAAAAGAGGCAACAAGAAAATATGAGTAGCACAACATTATTGGGACTATATCAGACATGATTATCCTCGTTGTATTTCTCAACTTTCAAATCTGAATATCATGTTTTCTCTGTCTGCATGCTGTTATTCCTTGTCAGTGAGAAGTTATGAGGAGACTCCATTGAGAAACCCTTTCATTCCTGCATCACGACGGGCTCAGTGGTATTAGGTGAAGTCAGTGCCATTCAACAACACATGTGGATATCTCAAGGATAGTAAAGGCAAGGGTACAAGCACTTCAAAACACCACACACAGACAATGTCTACATGCCTCTTCTTTATGAATATATTTATTCTGTGGAAAATGTGTATTCACGCACAGGATTTTTTGTTAATGTAAATCTGTGTGGCAGTGTTGAGGGTTTTTACAGTTGAGGAATTTCATTAAGTGTAATGTAATTTTAACTTCTCAACTGCCGTAAGTAAATTTGGATTGACCGTAATTCTATTGTATAGCTTTGTATCAGCAGTTACCTACAGGCCCATGACCTGTCCAATAAGATAAGCCGAACAACCAGTTTACATTGAATGCCATTTGGCCTGCGGTGGTTGGAAAATGTGTACGTAGTTTTATTTAGACTGCATGGAGAAAAAAAACTGGAAAGGATGAAAATAAAATGTAAGGGTATACATGTTTGAATTTATATTGATAATGGCAGGTTGTGGGATGGATAAGCAGTTTCACATATTGTCAGAAAATTATATATTTGTGTACATTTGTATTTTTTGAAATGTTCATTAAACCATACTTAAAATGTCTCCAACAAAACATGAATGTATGCAGTTTTGCAATTTTTAAAATTGTCATGAGGTATGCCTTATTATTTAAAACCAACTTATCAAATTTGCATGTTTAGATACCAACTAACTCTGAAGTTGTAAGGGATGTTGTGTTCCAGCAGGGGGAGCTGTTGGCCTACACAGGAGGAAGTAGTTAATGATTTGAATCTTAGACTAGAGTTTAAGGGTATATCACTGTGTTTGTTTGTGGTGTAGATTTTGCCTGAGGTAACTCAGTCAGACCAAGGCTCAAAGTTTAATAGCTCATGACAAATTACATATTTTTCTTTTTCTGTACTCTGTAATCTTAGGCACCAACAGTCAAGTTATCACTTAACTAAATCACCTCACCTCACGGCTCCAACTAAAGATTATTTTCATTCTAAATTAATCTACCAATTCATTTCTCCTTGATTAATCATTTGGTTTATAAAATATCAGGAAACGGTGAGAAACGCCTGTTACAATTTCCTAGAGCACAAGGTGACCTAATCAAATGGTTTGGTTGACCATCAGTCTGAAACCAAAAGATATTCAATGTACTGTAATGTCAAACAAGAATGGCAAACCTTCACATTTTAGAACCTGTAACCACAAAATGTGACATTTTGCCTGGAAAAAAAATTACTTAATAGATTTTCTGTTGATCGACTAAACAACTAATTGTTTCAACTCTACCTACATATATACATGTATGTCTGTGCATGTGCGTGTATATATACTAGCTTTCCAGTTGAATTTGTGCGTACGAGAGCCACAGTATACGGGAATCCATACGTTGCTTCTTCATAACCGAAACTCTCGCTCTAGGTGTATTTGAAGATGAATGTCCATTAACTGACTCACAGTGTTTATACCCTGTTCAGCTTTCCTCTGGAGTTGTAGTGTTTCCTAAAAAGTAGGACTGGGTAATATCGTCCAGATCAGTTATCACAATATTTTACATCGGACACCTTCATGTTGATAATCTGAAATTATTTGATGGTATCAATTGAGCATTTCCTAAGATAAATTTGAGAAACATGTTGAAAATACAGAGGGAGAGTGTTTCAGCATCTCCACTCCCACCGCCCCCACCCATGCACACCGCCGCCGCCACCGCCCTGACGTCACTGCCAGGAGCTGTCCACGCAGCGGTGGTGCTGAAGCTGAACAAGATGGCTGTGTGTTGGGGAGCGAGGAGCTGAGAGAGAAGGTGTAAGGGTGGGGGGGAGAGGGTCTCAAATTTAGACAGACACGCCATAAGAAAAAAAAAAAGACAGAGAGATTTGCGACTCTGACGCTCACCCTCAAAGTGTGAAGACTTCTTTTTGACCAGCCTAACGAGCCCTGCCAGGCCCCGTGTCTGCGACCGACGGCAGGCTTCTCCATCTCCAGCCCAGCGAGTCTCTCCCGGGCTGACTACTGCACAGATTAGCTCCGTTAAGAAAGCTGGTGAAGAAGCTGGACCCCGTACTAAAGGCTCATATAAGAAATGTCATTGCTGTGTGTCGGAGGTAAGAGGAAATCTAACAATCTACATATTGGCACGACTTGCTGTTAATTTCCTCGAGCGGCTGGTGTGAGAAGCTTAAATAGCTCCAAGTCGCATCTCTACGGCTTTTCGGTATTTACCTGTGAGGATAACGATCCATCCATCAGTATTTTGCAATAGCCATTATACAGAGAAATCTTATTATTTGCTACTTCATTAAATTGCAGACTAATGCACACCCCGTTGATGAGGTTAATACTTTCCATCACCTTTAGCAATTTTGCATATTTCTAATCTATTTTTGTTTTTGACTGTCAATCACCCAGAAGTATCTCACTCTTGTTATCTTCCATCACAGCCTGGTTTCATTTTACAAAACCTGGCATTGCTACAATAGAATCTATCGATTTATGGAGTAGGTGTATGCTTTCTGGCAGCCGCTGTCAAACATAGTAAAACAAGATGTAACCCACTCTGTTTGTCCCCTTGTAGCAGAAGCGTAGGGTGTTTCATATCAGAAAGCAGATGGCATTTTGATTAAAAATCATCGCAAGTGTAGACGTTGCATCTCAGTTTCCATGCGTTATTGCACAAGCAAGAAAAGGCGTGTGCAGCAGCCGTCAAGGTTTCTTTACAGTAGGATATTTCTTTAAACCACGTGATTGACTGCGAGATTCTTAAATTATCTTTCTCCTATTGATTGAGCTCTATAATGACAACCACTGCCTGTTCTGCTTTTGAATAATTCAAGATTTCTCAACTGGTTTTCAAATTGGTCTTCTACTGTATAAAGACAGCATTGTGCTGTATTATGACTGCTTTTCAAATGTATTTGTAATTGTTTTCAGTGAAGTCTATGATGTGGTCTATAATGTATTATTTCTCCAACTTAACAAATACAAAGTGGATCCAAAAGAGATGTAGTGTTTTTTTGTTTTGTTTTTTTGTTTGTTTGTTTGTTTTTTACATGTAATAGCTCATCACTGATTCTATTAAAAGATTCAGTCACTGTAAAAACCGAACATTTACGGGCAGAGTAGACCTGTGGTCATATAAAAGATGTAAATTTATGTTGGTTTTGCATGGTCAAGATGGGGATTTCATAAACAAGACTTAAGGCCTCTATTAATCAAAACTTATTGTTGTTTCTTTTAATTAGGAGGAGTCCTTTGCTGTCCGGTATCATTTCAATTGATTTGCATAAATGTCTAAGGGGAAACTAGATGGACAGATTTTATAAATGTTGAGTGAATCAAATGCTTTTATCCCAGGGATCTCCTGAAACCACCTCAATAACTACTGGTCATCCCCAGTTCCCACTTTAAGAACCAAAAGTTCAAACCATTTGACCCATACTCATATCAGCAGACTCAAGTATTTATCAAGAATCTCAGAATATGTCAATGAAATTGTAAATCCTCTACTTAGTAGTTATTTAAGATTTTTTATGTTGCTTCTTAGCAAGATGTCTTGCGTTTTACCTTAAAATGAAACCCATGTTGTTAGAATGGATTTAATACATTTAAAAAAACTGACTAAATTTGAGTGAAATTTACTGAAATCACAGCTGTCAGAGCCCCTTAAACCACAAATTTATTTAATCCAACCCAAGAAAAATTTACATATGTTAATTCCTGCTGAAATGTGTGCACATCTTTATCCTGTCATTTGCCACTTCCTGGGAACTCTCAAACAAGTTTGAACAGAACTCTTTGCAACTCTCTAAAATCCCAGATGAATTGGTATGAGTTTCCCTAGTTGTGACAGTTCATAAAAGCTCCTCAATCACACTTAAGCCTAAAACTAGGAACAAATTTGAACCATGCACTCTGAGAATTTTGGTCCAGTTTGGGCAGATTTCCTACGCTGACACTTGATAAATGTGGAGCCTGATTTATCCGGGAGCAGTGACGGAAAAATGAAAAAGCTTTTCCCTCAAGCTTCTTGTTCAGATTGAGGGAGAGGTTGCAGAAGGCTTGTAGTGTTTTTGAAGACGCTGCTACTGTACGTTGTTGACACCAGTGCTAGAGCTGATTGCACAGATGTCAGGATTGAGATTCAGGCTTGTTGGTGGCCCCTTTATGTCCTGAGGCTTTGTTGGCATAGCAACCCCAATGGTATTTTAGGTCTCCACTGGCATTTTCTCATTAGTTTCTACACACTGGTAAAGCCTGCAGCTAGGTTTATATTGATATTATATTTTTTCACAGTGGCTGTGAGCAGAGTGAAGTAATAAAAGTGATGATGATGGTACAGTGAGTTTGGCTGATACAAATATTGCAGTGGCATTGCATGGCTAGACATTTGTGAATGTTCTACTCTACATCATGTCTTGTGATGTCAGATGTAGTCTTTGAATTCATATCCTGTACCACAGTGAATTGAATGAGCATATTCAGATCTGGCCTCTTCTCACTGTCACCCCCTGTAGAGAGATGCCAGTTCACACGTTATAACTTCATAACAGACTGAGCCATGAGAGACATCCTCATTAGTGTCACCTTCTTTCATTAACATCTACTTAAGATTATTTACATATGGCGGAAGCAGTCAGAATGTCCCACAATAGAAATGAATATAATTTAACACCAAACTGTCCTTAGCTAGTCCTTTGTTTTATTACCATTTCAAACACACTGCTGCATTGCTGTAATAATTACAAGGGTTATTGGGAGTCTGGAAATAGGTAGAAGCAAAGACCAATTGTGTTTTAATAGAAATATATATATATATATATATATATATATATATATGTGTGTGTGTGTGTGTGTGTGTGTGGTGAATGATGCCAAGGCTACATATACTGTATACCGTGTTTATGTTCTCTGAAATGTCTCATGGTAGATGGCTCAGCATTTGCACTCATGGATATTTCACAGATTTGAACTTTTCTTCATGACAGGAACACTCAGTCAATCATATGACTGAATTTAAGTAGTTTTCTAACAGTTATAGTCTAATCAACATTATTATATTCCCCCGGGTATACTTCAGGTGTGTTACTGAGTTTTAACAGGCAGAGTAGACAGGAACAGACTGTAATGACCTCTCAGTCTTTATAACTGTTTTTTTTTTCTTTATTTCTTTCCTGCATTTCCTGTCTCCAGGTTTATATTGTTGTTCCGATGTCAGTATAATTGTATATAAGTGTGGGTTCTTTGAAAGCTTTTGATCGCATAACCTAAGGAAATAAATGCCCCTTTAGCTTCTTTGCACCAGGGCATGAGTGAATGTATTTGACAAAATTTCCCCAGCAAAGAAGGAGAAAATGAGATCCTGTAATTACTGTGGTAGGGAATCAACATTTTCTGTTCAGGATTTGCAGAAAATATATAACACTTACTCCCTTTCACTCTTCTCTCTGTGCTGTAACTGCAGCGATGGTGGTTTAGTCTTATGCCTGTGAGCTGTAAGTACCCTACCCCCCTTTCCGGCACCCCCCACCCTTGTCACACTGAAGTGGTTATTTTTAGTGTTGGGGATGCAGCTCGCTCTGCCCGCATCCGGCTGCACAGAGAGATTAATGGAGCACGAGAGAAAGAGATAGAAAGGGAGCACACGTGCATACTTGCCACATGGCAGGGGGAGCCTGTAGGAGCGAGTGATTGAGAGAGTGAGAGAGGAATGATGACTGGCTGATGGTGAGAAGAGGACAGTGTTTGAGAGAGAAGGAGAGTGTTGGCAAGGGTGCAGCCGAAGTGCATCTGTCATTTATTGTTTGTTTAAAGCAAAGAAATAATTCATTTCTCTTTGTCGAATGTATATTCAGTACTTTCATCAAGATGAACCTTCCCTACCCCTTAGGCTTGATTGCCTTGTCAGCGGCTAAAATATCAGGAGGGGGATTTTACTTTGAAGTTGGCTAAGAAGCACATGCTCCACCACACCACTTACTCCGCCACCTGCCTCATGAATCAGAGCGATATTTAAATGATAAGCATTATCCCAAGGGTTTGCTGGGGTTATGCTATTTTTAGAAGCAAATTTGTCCACAATGATTATCATACCTGCTCTGCCGTCACTGACTATGAAAAAGACAGAGGATGTGCTTCTTTGTCAGCATCACTTTTGCAGCAATAATGTTGAGGCTTTTCTTGTGTGTATTTATTCAGCGCTCTCTATGTTAGACAGTTGGACTGTAGGTCATACATCATAAAGCCGTTCTTCTTGCAACTATTTACACAGGCTTAGAGGATTTTTAATGGCTTGTTGTTGAAAGCCAATTAGATTGATTTTAAATCATGCTTCTTCCCTGTATTTCTTTCCTTAAATGTAACACCGGTGGAAACTGGCAATCAGCAGGGATTAAAAACCAGAGCTGTGAATATTAATACCTCACTGTTGGACATGGGGATGCTAGGCATAGGCAGGATTGAATGAATAATGGAAAGGCTTTTGACGTCACTGTGGTTTTAAAAGTCAGTCTGGTACCTCAGAGGTCCCTGTGTGGAGGAACTGGCAGTGGCATCTCAGCAGAGCTTCATGTATTGTGTTAGACAAAAGGCAGCACTGCTCAGTCCTGAGAAAAGCTTTAATGGATTCACTGAGTGATATATTTACACTATAAAAATGTAAAATCTTTGAACAGTGTCCTGCTAGCATGTTTGAAAATATATTTCCACTCACTTTTTCAAACACAGTTAGACTCATTTCTTCATTGTTTTCTCAATTTGTTTACAGTGAAGAAAGCCAAGCTTGATGGACCCCAAGGTGAGTCATGACCTGTGACCTGTGGAGATCATCCATTTGTTACTTATTGTCAGTGAATCGCGTTGAACACACACAGTGTCATAACCAATGCTATTTGTATTTTCCTTTTTACAGAGAAATTTAACACATACGTGACCCTGAAGGTGCAGAATGTTAAAAGCACAACCATCGCTGTGCGTGGCAGTCAGCCGTGCTGGGAGCAGGACTTCATGTTGTGAGTGCTTCTTGCCCTCTCTCAAGTCTTCTACCCCTCTTTTATCGCAGCACGTCTTTCCACCCTTTAACGCCTGTCTTCTTCTTTGACTTTGCCGAAGTTGCTTAATTGTGGGACAGTCCTTGCCGCACACTTTTAACTCATGATTTCTTACTGTATTCTTCTTGTCTTCCTCTCAGTGCCTCCTTCTTTAAAGAGCGCCTATAGTGTAATGAAGCTTCTGTCTTCACCATGGACCCACAAAGTTATGATTGTGGTTGTTTAGAGGTCTTTTTCACACAGTTCGCTGGTTGACAGACATTTTTGTTCTTTTGCATACAGCCCACTTGGCAGGTAGCAGAGAAAGGATCACAGACAAACAACTGTATGCATTGCATTGTGGGTAAAGTAGGCAACAGGTTTTGACAAGGAAGAAGAATGTGTGAAATATAACAAGACGATATCTCTGGTTTTATCATGTCTTAAAACTGTGGTGATCCTGACAGTGTAATAGGAAGGCAATGTGAAATCACTTTTTTAGGTATGAAGCTCTGTTTACTTTCCCCCTAGCTTTGCTGGTACACCAGCACAGCAGCTTTTTCAATATCATCTAATATGTTTGAACGTATCTGTGCACTCTTGAAGAGTGAAACAATAATTAAATTGAATTTCATGTAAGAAATCAACAATCTACACCTAATGTCACTATCAGTTGGCAAATGCAAGTCTGTGGTCCATATTAATAAATAGCTTCAAACTATTTTGCATTAAATATGGAAAGGATACTGTTTTCACTTGAATAGAGATGTCACCTCAGGGGTTTAATTTTTCCTGCACCCAGATGTTGTGCAAGACACAGGGCAGCAAGGTCAGCTGTGAAATTGCTACTAAAAGCAGATATGTTTGCCCTCTATTTTCCACTTGCTTTCTGTCTTTCTCTCTCATTTGAAGAGTGTTTGGATGCCGTAACACCTGTGAAGTCTTTGCTGCTCCAGCTCCAGTGTTCACACACTCAGTCAAGAGGGTTTCTGGGCCCACCCGGGCTTCATAACACCTGATAACTTCAGAAAAACGACCTAACAACAAAAAAACTGCCAAACACAACTACTGAAAATGGCTTGTCTTGCCAGCCTACTCTTTTTATGTTTAATCTGTAACCACAACTTTAAACTAAAAAAAAAAGCAACACATGCCCTCTTCCCTTTTTTTTTTTTTTTTTAAAAATCCCTCACTCTCGTCCTCTTCTCCTCTTATCATTCTCTTTCCACTTTAGTACCCCATTCAGCCATTTTCCATATTACTCCTCTGGATCCCAGGGAAATAGAAAGATGCATTTTCATATCAAAGCTGTGGCTATTATTAGGTTTTGATTCACTTAAGACAGCCAGTGGGCTTGAGAAGAGGCACTGTTCAACGATGAGGGGTGCTTAGTGAGCTGAGAATCTGCCAGACAGATATGTAGTCACATTACAAATCCTAGCTAGTCCTGATGAATCTATATGTTGTGTATACTGTTTATGACTGTTGCTTGATGGAAAAAGTGAGCCACAGAGTTCACTGTTGTTTGTCATACAGAAATATAGATCGTCTCTGTTGTTGCCCTATCTGCGCTCTCTCTTAGATCTTGCCAGCGGCCTGGTTGACAATCACCTACTCTTTCCATCCTCATACGGAGTGACTCATTTCCCTCAGAAGACTGAATCACAAGTGCATATCCATCACCAGATTTAAGTGCAGCTCCTGATGGCATAGACTGTATTTCTGTTCAAAACCCTCTGTGCAATGAGATGTCTACATACAACTCTGTCTCCACTCAGCTCTCTATAATATTCTATATTATCATTAATATCTTTCCTCTTTTCTCATTTCACTATTTCTTGTGACCGGCCTCTTCCTCTTTCTGCTGAGCAGCGAAATAAACCGCCTGGATCTGGGCCTGACAGTGGAGGTGTGGAATAAAGGGCTGATCTGGGACACCATGGTGGGCACCTTATGGATCCCCCTGCGCAGCATACGGCAGTCCAATGAGGTACAAAGCTACCTTCTCTTTCTCTTTGGCTCTGAAATTAGGTTTCACTGGCTACACTTACTGTACATGACATGTACACTGAGAGATGAATGAACGCAATTATTAAATTACCCAAATCAAAATATGGGTTCTGAAAACACATAAATTTCAATGTTACTTTAATTAAGGTCATTAGACCAGGAAAGTACTTTGAGCTTTTTTATTATTGAAGTGATCTCATTACTTTCAGCCACATATTTTATTTTGAATTAGTTGCGTTTTATAAGGGTTTGTGTCATGTTTCTATTCCCCTTGTTGTAGCTAAATGACATGTATAGCAACACTTGGTACAAAGTGTAACTGTGCAGCCAACTGTGATAGGTATACTGACCCTATAGGGGCTCAGTTCAATTTTCCTCCATGCTGTGTGTTCATATATGATAAATATACAAGAATGACAACAGTAAGTTAACAGTATGTGGTAAAACAGTTGTCTTAATCATGGACATTATAAACAAGTCACAGTGGAAAAGTAATACCGTACTAGGTTTAAAATAAAATGTAGTCCGACAGCATAATATACTGAAACACATCTGCATTTGTGAAATATATTGTGTTTGGCATAATCAATAAGAAATTTCACTATCAGGTGTGTTTTTTTGTGCAAAAGGAATCGCAATTGGTGTAATAAGCCACTTAATTAAATAAGAAACTATCATGCATGGTGGACACATTCCCTTATTATAAGATAATGGAGCGAGTGGTTCTTGTCAGATTTCTATCAGGAACTATAGGTCACTGTTTGTTTGGCTTGAAGCTGATGGATCCCAGTGGTGATAAAGTTGTGGGTAAACTGCGAGGGATGAGGTTCATGTTAGTGGGTAATTGTTTTGCCCAGTGAAAGATGCCTTTTCTTTTCTTTCTCATTTATAGAAAAAGTTCAACAGTTTGGGAAATGCACTTATTTGCATTCTTGCTGAGAGTTAGATGAGAAGATCAGTCAAGTATGAAGCTAGAGCCTGGAGGCAATTAGTCTAGCCTAACACAAATACGGGAAGCAGTGTTAAAATGCTAGTCTTGCTCTCTCTAAAGTTTAAAAATACGTCTACCAGCATCTCTAAAGCTCACTAATTGTATCTTGGTTTTTAAATCCTTATACAAACCGAAATGTAAAGATGACAAGTTGTGGTTTTATAAGGGGGGTTTATATGCCATAACTAATTCTTGGTGAACACCAGCCAAGCACAATGACTTCCTGGAGTCACAATGACTTCCTTCACTGTGAGGCAATTAAGAGATCTGCACTTCAGTCAAAGAATGACTTCAGACTGACTTGCCACTTGGTTTTCACTTCATTCATTTGCATTACACTTTTTAGATCGCCAAAAAGATCTGAGAGATGAAGAGAAACTTAGAGGTCTAGGACCAGGCCAGGAATGGCCGACTTAAAGCACAGGCTGTCCTAACAATATTCCTCTTCCCCTTTTCCTTCCAGGAGGGTCCAGGTCAGTGGCTGACCCTGGACTCCAATGTGATCATGGCTGAGAATGAGATCTGTGGAACCAAAGACCCAACCTTTCACAGGCTGCTGCTTGACACCCGCTTTGAACTGCCACTAGGTTTGGTCTTTCATAGTTTCATTTATTCTGCCTTGTGCTTTGTTCTGTTTATTTTCTTTTTTTTATGCTTAATTTTTTATATAAAGTAACAAGAAAGAATGATTACTGCCACTACTACCATGAGTACTACTACTAGTACTATAGTACAACTACTAGTGTCTCTACCGCTATCATTATCAGGACCATAACTAGTACCACTATTACTAATAATATTACTTTTACTTCTACAGCTGCCCCTAATACCAGTACTACTACTATTATATTACTAACACTACCTCTAATGCTATTACTACTACTGTTACTATTTCTTGCACCATAACCACCACTAGCAAAACTGCTACTAACTTAAAGTATTGTCATTAAATTTAAAGAGTTAAGTCTTGTTTTTGAGTACAAGACTGTACTGTACTACCTGTACTCTTATAGGTGCAAAAAAAACACACTTCCTACCACACCCAAACACAACAAGCAAAACCGAGAGGGCAGTAAAACACTGCTCTTCAGCCTGGGTATATGTAGAGAAATATATACACATAGAAAGAGAAATGTTCATAGTGTTAAATATTGGATTTGCAGAGTAGAGTATTGTGTTAAGTGTTTTTGTTGTGCGCTGCAGACATTCCAGAGGAAGAGGCCAGATACTGGGCCAAGAAACTTGAACAACTTAATGCCATGAGAGATCAAGATGTAAGAACTTTATTCTTTGCCACATTCCCACCACATCCTTTGCACCATCATTATATGTTTACTCATCTATTTTTTCCTTCATCTTTATAGCATTTTCTTTCATACCCTTTTTCCTTCACTTCAATTTCATTTTCCAGACACTAATTACACTCAATGGCTGCCAATAACAACAGAGTTACCCGAGTCAATATTTTTACCCCAGAGCAAGTTCATTTTCTGAGATGTCTGTCGTTTTCTTTCCCTTAGTATGCCTATCAAGAGGAACAGGAGCAACCACTTCATGCGCCATCCACACAGTGCTGTGAGTTTTGCCAGCCTCTTCTGCGCCCACCTCCTCCTGCTGTCCCCTGCTGTGTCCTTTTCATGCCTCCAGTTTTTCCTCTCCCCGCTCCTCCTGCTCTGTCACCCTGACTTATTGAGAACAGGACTAGACAGGAGGTAGAAATGAGGCTGATAGATGAGGCTAAGGATGGGTGGAGGGAGGGAGGAAGGGAGGGAGGAAAGCTGATGTGACAAATCAAGCATGCAGGCCTGCCTGAGCACTAAATGACTTATAGGTGCTAGATGTGCAATGAATGTGAGCTGACAAGCGCTGGGTTGTCAGACACACACCAACCTGCCTGTCTGTCTGATGATGATGATGGCACAGGGAGCCAGTGGATAAGTGTGTATAGTATAACTCTGTGGACAGTAGACGTTGCTTGATGGTATGGTGCTTGTTTTGAGTGTGTGCAGTGATGATACAGCATGTCAGTGTTTCTTGTTTTTAATTTCTTAGCAGTGTCAAGGCCAGGAGCATTTAAAAAGAAGCTGGTTTTGATCTAAGTTCTCTAAAGACCTTGTGCTTTTATGTACTCACCCACATGTACACACTGATTTACCTCACTTATGAGCTGTCTGCATACAAATATACATTTTAAAATAATTATTTCTCAGGGCTACATATCTCTTCATGTTTGTTTACCTGGCTTTGTGGACTGATGATGTGGTTAATTTGTGGCCCAAACCTAATTTGGTTTTCCCAACCCTTTATCTCCTTGCAGGTAATTGGAGTCTGTGGGGAGATCAGCAAAGTAAGTTTCTTTCATGCGCCTCTGCTAATGACTTAGAGTAATACTGTATTTATTGTCCACATCTCCCTTAATGTAATGATCTTGTGCGATTTTCCTCAGAAACCATTAGCTGCCATGAATTTATTTATTTTTCTCCACACATCCTCTCTGAACTTCCTCTCTGCTTGCATTCATGTTCTCCTGATGGATTTTACAGTCAGGCTGTAAGAGTTAAATCAAATAAAGTCACAGTAAAATAAATTCTGTGGTGTTTTTTGAAGATACACAGGAGCACATCTTCCACCTATGACCAGGCCAGAATAACAGATTATTTGCATTTGTTTGTCTGGCTTGTCTTATCTAACTTTGCCATGCACAATGATAAACAAAACGTTATGACACATTTAGCATTTGATCCACCGATGACACCCTGTCTGATGTTATACAAGTTGTGCTTAGGTCAAAATATGTAAAACATTAAAATTATTTGCAAATACTGCATAATACTATTTTGAGCATCATTCTTGTCTCGCCCCCTCATTTTGTCCCATCTCCCGCTGTGTTTGTGTGAACAGACGAGGACCCAGACAGTGCTGTGGATGACAGGGACAGCGACTACCGGAGTGAGACCAGTAACAGCATCCCTCCTCCCTACTACACCACCTCTCAGCCCAACGCTTCCATGCACCAGTATCCCATGAGACAGCAGCAATACAGACACTACAACGACGACATCAATGAGCTGGACTACGACCACAGAGCCATGAGGTACCATGCACACTACAGCCGCTACGTAGCCAAAGCAAAGGCAGAGTGGTTCCTTTTTTTCTTGAGTCTAACTGCTTATGTGCACCCATGAGATTACCAAGGGGTGGGGTTGTCAAAATGTTTCAGCAAAACCTAAGAGGGGGAAAGGCTGTTTAACGCTGAGAATGTAATATCACACTCCCCATCTTAGACAAAATATTCCTTTGTGAATAAATCCATTTGGAGTCTAGCATATAGCCCTGAGACAGCTGAGCCCCTGCGGCCTTGTTCTGTTTCATTGTGTTGTACATGGTAACATGCTGTCCCACTGTGCTCTCCTCCTCTAGAGAATAACCCTGGCCTCAGTGTATACAAGCATGCTGAGGCACACACTTCTTGTATACAGGTCATGTATGAAGTGGGCCTTTGCGGTTATCTTTTCTGTGTGAATGTGTGAATGTGTGCGTGTGCGCGTCTGCATCTTCGTGTGCATGTTGAGTGTGTGAGCATCAGAAACCCCATGTGATCTCTTCTGCGCTAACTTGTTCTGCAGAAAATAAATGCATTTTTCTGGTCATCACAGTATCTATGACGACATGTTTTTTAAAGGCGGCAGATGATCAAACTCATGCATTGCTCAGAAAAGCTGAAACAGAAAGTTTAACCTTTAGATGGGTAAATTAAATCTTCAACTGCTCAACCTCAAGTGAGAGGACTTTTTGCAGAAGCTTAAAGGATTGGTTTGCAATTTTTCAAGTCTGTCTGTAAACAATAGTCAGGTGTGCATGTGAACATTGCTTGCAGTAACCATTCCTCCTTAGTTAGTCTTCTTAGTGTTTCCTTCTTACATTGCAGTGCGGGGCCTGTAACACAAAAAGGAAATTTCACACTAAAAAGAGTAACTTTGGAATATACCCACTTGATTCGAATAATCGAGGCTGCTGAAGCCACATATTAGCTTTGTCCATGTCTTACATTGGAATCACATTAAGAAGAGAGCTCTTGATGTCCAGTTTGAACAGGAGGAATGATTACAGCAAGAAAAACAGTTTCAATGTTCATACAGACACGTGACTATTGTTTTAAGACAGACTTGAAAAATTGTGAACCTGACCTTTAACCAGGCAGTACAGAAGCTCAGTTTGGTTAGAGCTTTCTTTGAAAGATTTGCACTGAGCTCTACTGATGCTCCTCTCCCACCTCTTCCCTCCTCCCTACCTTCCTCCCTGCTCCTCTTACCAGACGCTATGATAGTTTAGACTCGGCCACCAACGGGCGCAGCGATATCGACTCAGGCTCAGGGTCGAGCCGGCGCACCAGTCGTCAGTATTCTCTAGACAGTAGGCATTCACTGTCCGATAGGTGGGTCTCTGTACCTCCTCTCCAAACCCTCCTCCTCTTCTTCCTCCTGCTCCGGCCTGTGACTCCGTCTCGCTGTGACGTCAGTGGTGGACTTGTCCTGTCCTCCTCGCTCGCTGTGCTTGCATGCATGCGCTCTTACCCTGTCTCTGTATATGTATATATTCTATATTTTTAATGGAAAACTACTGGTCCTGCATCTATCTTTACTGTGTTCCTGGTGAAGAATCACAAATCAGTATCACCAATAATGTATGATGCTCATCCTCTCCATTTTTAAACCCTTATAAGTTCTGTGCACTTTTCTGTTTAGTTTATGTGTGTGGGTGAGTGTCTGAAAAGATGTGTGTTTGTGTGTGCTGTTTCGTAACAGTCAGAAACAGAGAGAAAATTGTTGGTTGGAGTTTGTGGAAAAGCCTGTGTGAATCTGTCTGTGTGTGCGCGCGCGCATGTGTGTATGTGTATGTGTGTGTGTGTGTGTGTGTGTGTGTGTGTGTGTGTGTGTGTGTGTGTGTGTGTGTGTAACTGTCATCGTGGCAGCCTGTTATTATAGCCTCATCCTGTATGTGAGACTTTAAGGAGAGCCCTGTCTTCCTCTGGGTGCCCCGTACTTGGTAATTATACACATTTAATTTCCATTTGTGAGACAGCAGAAGGACATCAACCCAGTAATGGGGCCCTAGCAGAGAGGCCAAGATAGATTATGTTCATTTTCATCTTCATTACAACAGGTTTTTTTTTTCTTTTTTTATTCTTTTCTGAGAAAGATGGCAGACATGTATTTATATTCAAGTATCATACAAGCATTTGTCGCTGTCTGTCAGTGTTTGTTTTGGATGAGATTATGAGATAGGTGATGAATAGAGAAGGACAAGGGTGTAGTTGAGTGTTTAGGTGTCCATTCATCCATACTTGTGTATTCGCTGTGGCTCACAGCCCAAAGTCATTATATAGTTCTCTCCTTTACTGCTCCTGCACTATGCATTATCGAACCAAGATGACCGTAATCAATAGAGACGAAACAATAAAATGTGAGATTTGTGTGTGTGTGTGTGTGTGTGTGTGTGTGTGTGTGTGTAACAAATGGTTTTTATATGTGTCTCAAATCTCTCCCTGACTCATGGTCTGTCTCAATCTCTAATAGCCTCATTCATCAGTGTGAATAAATATTATTCACTTATTTATCTACAGAAAGAGACAGTTTTTCTTCTGCCAGGCTAATAAATTACCCTCAGCCTCTCCAGGTTCACTCTCTTTCTTTGAATAGGCCTATTCAGATTTTTGAAAACTGTGTTCTTATGCTTTTTCTAATCATGTGTTTTTGTATGGTGTGTGTTTCTGTATTAACTTCTGAGTGAACTAGTATCCATAGTAACCTTCCCCATTACTAAAAAGCTGATTCCTCTTACAGTTACATAGATGCATCACTAGTCTGATCCCCTGCTCTAAGTTTCCTGATTGGTTGATTTAAAGTCACTCCTCTTTTCCTATTGGTTAGCTGTCTCCCTCCCTGGCCCCACCACAAGTTCCTTAAGTGTCACTGTGACAACTAAACTCCTTATGATACAACTCTGGGAACTCCCTTAGTTTACTTTCAAACCTGTGTGAGTGTGTCTGACATGTCTCTGCATCTCCCCCTCCCTTTAGTCCCACAGACAGTCGCTACGCCTCATCAGGCGAGTTGAGTCGAGGCAGCTCTCAGCTCAGTGAGGAGTTTGTTCCTGAGGACGGCGAGAGTTTGCGAGGTTCGGAGTTCTATGATGAAAACGATTCCTACCACTCCTGCCACTCCTCGGTCAGCTACAGCAAAGAGGATTCCCCAGGCTGGGATGGCGAAGACCCCCAAGGCGTCTACAGTGACGAGGGAGGCTACCTCAAAGACGGAGGGGAGGAGGGGGCGCTGTATGATGAAGATGAGGGAGACATTTACGGGGAGGAAGGAGAGTACAACTATGAAGATGAGGAAGAGATGCCATATGAGGAAGATGAAGATATGTATCCGCTTGATGGCACGCTCAGTGAAGACCAGGAACCACCCTACACCCCCACACCCACAAGCACCGCCCCTACCCTGATGCCGCCCTCTGATGGTCTGTCCACCACCAGGCCACCGCTGGAGAAGCAGCCATCATTGCATCAGCAGCAGCAGCAGCAGCAGCAGCAGCAGCAGCAGCAGCAGCAACAGCAGCAGCACCCGGCCCCTGATCAGCTCCAGCCCCCAGCCACAGCTCCTGGTCTCCTTCCAGTCTCACAGGACGACACGTTACCCCCTTTCAGTTCAGACTCCACCAAACCTACCTTTGCACTTGCACAGCCAGATATGTCTACCACCACTACATCCACCTCTACAACTATATCACAGGTTCCAGCTCCAGAATCCAAGCCCCCGGAGGCTGAGCCCAAATCTGAGGAAGAACCTCTACCCTCCGAGAAGCCTCCAGCCGCAGAGAGCATCCCTCCAGCTCCCGAAGAGAAAACGGAGGAGCCTCCTGTTCCAAGGTGAACACTGCTCTTACCCCGACAGCTTCATACAGGAAAAAAATCTCAAATTAGCTCCCACACACTGTCGTCACTGAGATAGCAACATTTCTGACAAGGGTTTTATCGTGGCTCTTGATTCAAGTAACAATAAGCACATACAGTATATATATATATATATATATATATATATATATATATATAACAGCCAAAGAGACACATGGAAGAGTTAGAGATTGAACCAGCAGCATTTTAATAAAATACCCAATAAAAGTTAAAAAGAATGATCTGCATTTTTTTAATCATAATGTTTTCTTCAAATATTACTTTTGCTTGAGACTTCAAAGAAGACACAGGTACATCATCCAGTTAAAGGGCTACTCAATGGAGTTCCCCCTTATTATAAAAAAAAAATAAAAAATTATTATCAAAAATATTACTCCATGACAGTTATCTCCATAATCACTGTACTTTAAGTAAATTAGCTAATTGAGCACACACATACACATATATTAATAACTATAAAAACGTTCAATCTTTCCTGTAGCTTCCCAAAGAGAGAAATCATGGAACCTGGTCCTGCCAGAGCCAAAGCCAACTGGCTTCGACTTTTCAGCAGAGTGCGACTGCAGCTACAAGAGGTACAGCCTGTGTGCGTGTGTGTGTGTTTCTCCGTGTATCTTTGTACACATATGTGTGCATTTGCATCCGTTCATGCCAGATGAATGCCTGTGCTCATTAGAGTGGGTAATACAGTATGTTTTCTCTGTTGTTGCTCAGCTTTGATTCATAAGTCTACTATTTGAGCTCACTGACTTGTTGCATCAGCCCCTGCATGTCTTACTGTTACTGTGATTTTTTTCCAGCTTTTTGTTGACTGGTCCACCATTTTTCCCAGCGTTTGGTTATTGCTGTGGATTACACTGTATTGTCTTGTGTTTATTTGATAGTTTCTGTTTACCCCTTGTATTGTTTTGCCATTTCATTATTTTCTTTTCAGTTGTTTGCCATCCTCGTAGCGATTTGCATGTAGTCCATTCTGATTACCCATGGCTGGAGCAGACTCTCAGGTGGGTGTGGCCAATAGTGTGTTAATCAGTCTAATTTATGTTGTATGTATCCTGTACAGCTCATAGACAATTTATGGAGAGCCAAGCAACACATAGGAAGCTGCTGTAAGCCTGCTAAGTGTCATTTTCAAAGTCAGACGTTTCTACCAATCATGACTATTTCTGCACCTCGGTATGACGTGAGCATCAGCGCTGTTTTGTTCTCTGAACAGGCAGGCAGACAAAGAACGTGTCTTTCAATAATAGAGCAGATAGAATTAGAAGAATGATTACATGGATAGCCATCTGGCTGTAATCTACTTTTACTATGATCCTCAAACACAGAGAAGCCACTGCTGATGTCAGTAGTCACCACATGCACTAAGAAAGACACAACTCAGCTGTAACAATTTCCTCATCTCCCCTTTTTCTTTCTATCTCCCACTTGTACCACTGTTGTATTATTCATTTGTGAATTCTGGGAACACTTTCAGTTATGGTGGCAGCCAGCTACTAGTGAAACTTGCCATGAAATATTGCTTTTTTCCAAGGAACACCGTGCAATATCTCTTCATTTTGTTTTTCTCAGTATAACGGACAAAATAAGTACAGTACTATGAAATGCTATGCTTCCCATTTTTCCAGCCACAGCTCTAACGGCACCCTGCTCGCCTTTCTTTCTCATCTCATGTCTCTCTCCACAGGCCCGAGGAGAAAGTGTCGGCATCGCCTCTCTGCTTTTATCAGCAGGGTAAGTAACCATGACGCTGTTATTACTACGGTCATTGAAAATCTATAACTTACCAACCCAAAGCCAAGCCCATGGCCTTAATGTCTAATTGAGTTGTCATGTCCAGGTTCAACTGTAGCTACAAAATAAGGGATGCTGAATCCTGTTATGTGCATGTTTTGTCTCCAGAATGGGTGGCGCTCTGTATAGCATTGACAGCATGCCAGACCTCAGGAAGAGGAAAGCTATGCCTCTGGTCAGAGATCTGGTGAGTTTCTGCGCTAATCTCTTTATATTCCCTGACTAAAGTGTCTCACATCTGCCTGGTCCATCTATCACTCAGCTCAGCAGTCAGCGCACTCAGCTACTGTAAATACTCCTGTTCTGTTTATCTTGACTCTCTGCTTTCTTTTTGTTTGTTTTATCTTTCTTTTGTTCTTTTCTTAATTTCTCCTACGCTTTCCTTTGTCTTTTATCCCATTGCACTGCATCTACTGTGCCTATAGATGATACATTTCCCTGCTGTTACAGCATGACAGGGCAAGCCGAATGGCTGAGAGGCCACTGGCAAGGCCAGAGTTTTCCACTGACTGACATTGATGTCTGCTAGATGCTGTCATATAACAGACCTTTTCATAACCTTACCCTGCCATCGTCCACATGCCTGCTTGACACTGGCTCATTAGTGACACAACTGTGAAAAATATAAATCCACTGGAGAAACCTGTAACTAGTGTACAAGTCACTTTGTTTGACTGTCTAATCATTATAAATTTTCTACCTCTGTTAAAATGACAGGAGGCTCAAATTCTACTAGCAAGTACATGTAGATACACATTAAGCTCAGGATATGGATAGAAGCACACAGCATCTGTGCCATATTTTTCTTTTCAGAAAGACAAATGACAGAAAACCTTAAAATACACTTGTTTTCTTTCGTACTGAAAGTTTGAAGAGAAGATTGTAACCATTCTCGTACCCGCCCATTCAATATATGAAGCTACATCCAGCAGCTGGTTAGCTGAGCCTAGCATAAAGACTGGAAGCAGGGTAAAGGGGCTAGCTTGGCTAACTCGCCATAAAACTGCAATTTTTTGATGTTGTTTTTTTGTATAAATTAAACAAATGAAATACAAAGTAATAATTAGTGAATTTTAGAGATACTGGTAGGTGGATTTTATTACCTGCAGACATCACCAGGCTAGGTATCACCCCTTGTTTGTGCTAACCTAAGCTAACTTGCTGTAGCATCATATTTACCGCACAGATTTGAGAGTGGCTTCAATCTCCTCATCTAACTCCTGGCAAGAAAACAAATAAGCATTTTCCCCAAAATGTCAAACTACTGATTTATTACAGAAATAGGCTAACAGAGGGTAGGCTGGAAAAAAGGGCAGCTATTTGGCTTTTTATATCAACTGCCAGATAAAGCTCAGTGTGCTGTTTTCGTAAACATCCCAGATCCAAGCGTTACCACACATTGCCTTGGAAGACTGTCTTCATTAATAAATCCTGCTGTCACGCAGTTACAGCCACTACACACTGACAGACAGTTACAAGCAGGTGCACTTATATTTCTCTCCCTCTCTATCACACAGACACACACTCACAACATGTCAGTGTCTCAGGTAATTGATCACACCGGGTGGGGTCCCGAGCAGCGATCACAGGCTATTTCATTCACATATCAGATATTCAAGTCTTGTTGCAGCTGTGAGTGCCTCGCCCTGCAAGTCTCCACATCTGACTGTAGATTCTTGTTTAATCACAGACTTCAGCAGATGCAGAATAAATGCTTCAGTTTCTCAACACCTCTTTTGCAGCTTTTATTCTGTGGAAATTCCTTCCTCTTTCTTGCCTTTTTCTAATATTAAATCTTCCTTTTTTCCCCCACCTTCATTTCATTGCCACAGGCTATGGTGAGTAACACTGAAATTTGCTCTAGAAACACACTTTACTATTGACTATTATGAGGGTATACAAATTTTCTAGTCTCACCAGCAAGTTGGTCACTTTAAAAGAAAAACAAAAAGGAAGCACTTTAAATTCTTCAGCTGTCACCTCCAGCTTGTTGTAACTATTCAGGAAAACATTGCCAGACTGTAATTATACACATTGTCTCATAGGTTGCACTGAGATTTGTCTCGATAAAAAGAAAAATAAGATATTAAAGTGGGAGCTGAGAGAAATGACCCCTTCTCTCTCCTGTCACTCAGTCTTTGGTTCAGAACTCCAGGAAAGCCGGCATCACCTCGGCCCTGACGTCCAGCACCCTGCATAATGAAGAACTGGTCAGTGCTCACTCTATTACATCGAAATATTTCACAACATGCCTAAAGGCTTTTTAACTCTTCTGACCCTGCACTTTTCTCCTCTGTACCCCTGTAGAAGAGTCACGTCTATAAGAAGACCCTTCAGGCCCTCATATACCCCATCTCCTGCACCACCCCGCATAATTTTGAGGTGTGGACCGCCACTACCCCCACTTACTGCTACGAGTGTGAGGGGCTGCTGTGGGGTATTGCTCGCCAGGGCATGCGCTGTACCGAGTGTGGAGTCAAATGCCACGAAAAGTGCCAAGATCTACTTAATGCTGACTGTCTGCAAAGTAAGAGAAATGTTGGAAAACATTATCCCCATTTTATCCCCTAAAGCATTGAGTAGAGAGTGGATTAAGAATATGATGTTGTAATTTCAATTTAGCAATGCAGAGTATGTTCATCTTCATGACTATAGAGATCAAAGATAAATGAGGCAGTATGCTGAAGCCTATAAATGTAATTGGAGATGTATACTAGTGTACTCTGTAAAATTATTGTTTTTATTTCCTGTTTTGTTTATTTAGGTCAATTTATGTATTGTTAAAAGGAGATGCCGGCACTCACACTTGAATAGTCTTGTGTTTTAATATGGGGCAAACAACGAACCCTGATGATAGTTTATAGCTGAAACGCCTTCGTCGTTTGCCCCATATTAAAACACAAGACTATTCAAGTGTGAATCCCAGCGTTCATTGTTAAAAGGAGTAGTCTGACATTTTGGGAAATATAGCTTATTTACATTCTTGCCAAGAGTTAGTTGAGAAGATTGACACCACTGGCATGTCTGTATGATAAATATGTTGCTGGAGCCGACAGGTGGTTAGCTTAGTTTAGCATAAAGATGCCCAATGTTAAAATTATTTGTTATGCTTTGGTTTTTTTATGCAGATTAAAGAATTGAGATATAACGTGTTAATTATTAAACTTTGTTGGTTTTGTGTTACATGTGAACAGACCCAGCCCAACTCTTTCCCACAGTTCCCAGTCTTTATGCTAAGATAAACTAACAGGCTTCATATTTAGGATGCTAAAATATAGTGAAAAATATTTAAGAGCCAAATAACCATTGGCTGACTTTGTTTTAGACGTCTGCATCAGTGCTGCTTTTTTATTAATAAGAGTATACTATCTGGTCCATCTATTTTCCCTTATCTGTATTTGTCAGGTGCCAACCTCCTCTTCCTTCTCCTCTCACTCCTACTTTCTTATTTTCCTTGTTTTCTTGAGAGGATATTAAAAGCCATTTATCTTTTGTTGTTATCCACCTCTCTTTTCCATCTCTCTTTTCCACAGCATTTTATAGCTCTGCAAATGTGTCCGCTTCTCATTCAGGAAATATAACCAAGTTTGTCATCACCTCCACAGTCTTCTTCTCTGCTCTGAATTAAATTTCCCATTTTCAAATCACTTTCTTATAAGTTACAGAATGCTATGCTCCAGGATATAATCTTTTCTGTCATAATTAATAACTGAATAGAAACTAAAAGCCATAGGTTTCTCATAGCAAATCATTTCTATAGGCCTTTATATATCTGATCCTTTTCTTAATTGTTCCACTAACCAGGGGCAGCAGAGAAGAGCTCCAAGCATGGTGCGGAGGATCGAACCCAGAACATCATCATGGTTCTTAAGGACCGCATGAAGATCCGCGAGAGGAACAAACCAGAGATCTTTGAACTCATTCAGGAAGTGTTCACTGTCCCCAAATCCACTCATGTCACCCATATGAAGCAGATCAAACAGAGCGTGCTCGATGGCACCTCTAAATGGTCGGCCAAGATCAGCATCACAGGTAAGAGGGGAGTACAGTACAGTAGCTTTGAAGGGAGCTGGCCAACACGGTCAACATCAAAGTCAGAGGAGCCAACACATGTCAGGTGTTTGTGTCTATGAAAAGAGACAAGCTACCATTTGCATGAAGAGAGCACAGGTGGCGTTTGTGGGGCAATAGAGCAGAAGGTCAAATGAGTTAAGAAGCATCTGTTTGCATCCAAACACACATACACTCACAGAGTGGCTGACCAGCTTGGCCTTTTTTCCCCTCTGTCTAGTGTTGTGTGCCCAGGGTCTCCAAGCCAAGGATAAAACTGGTTCCAGTGATCCTTATGTCACCGTCCAGGTGGGAAAGACCAAAAAAAGGACAAAGACCATCTACGGGAACCTCAACCCTGTATGGGAGGAGACGTTTAATTTGTGAGTCGAGACCTCTTGGAAAAAAAATAATTATCAATTATCAATTAATGATTATTTTCTTTAACAGTTAATATGTTGGTCATTTTTTTCCACTTAATCAAGCCCCAGGTGACGTCTCTAAATTGCTTGTTTTGGCAAAAGGAACAGTTAAAAAGATATTTCATTTACAATTGTATAAAACAGGAAGGCTTGATGAATGACTTAAATAATTGATCACTTATCAGTGTTGTTGATTATTTGTCTGTGGAGGCAGTAAACCCTTCAGCTCTAGTGGTTCCAGTGTCACAGATATACATTTTTATCTGCTTTCTGTTGGTAAACTATAATCGATGCAGATTTGTTTATGGCTAGATTTTGTGTCTACAATTTCATATTTAATAAGTCAAGATAGTAATCCATCTGGTCTTCTTGGCCAACTGTCAATGTGAACTGTGGCTGATTCTCTGCTTCTGTCTATGTAGTGAGTGTCACAACTCCTCAGATCGCATCAAGGTGCGTGTGTGGGATGAGGACGATGACATTAAGTCTCGTGTGAAGCAGAAGTTCAAGCGGGAGTCAGATGACTTCCTCGGTCAAACCATCATCGAGGTCCGCACTTTGAGTGGAGAGATGGACGTCTGGTACAATCTCGGTCAGTTGAATTTAAAGTTCACGTCACTTCTGCTGCACTAATCCAATAATCAGCTGTCCTGACCTTGCAGTTATATGACTCATTAACTTCTCATTGAGTTTTTTTTTAGCAGTGAGTTTGGTAACTGTGTTGCTGTCTGTCTTGTGCTCTTCACAGACAAGCGTACAGACAAATCAGCTGTGTCTGGAGCTATCCGCATGCACATTAATGTAGAGATCAAAGGAGAGGAGACGGTCGCCCCATATCACGTTCAGTACACCTGTTTGCATGAAGTAAGCTCAGTGTGTGTGTTAGTATGTTTGAAAATAAATCTCTTGAGTTGTATTTAAAATACTGATGTGCATTTTGTGAGATTGTATATTTTTACTCCAATACTACTTCTGGGGGAATATTGTAATTCTTCACTACATTCATCTATAAGACTATTTTTTGCAGAATGAAAAGAAAGAACCTGCATATACTATACATATACATGTAAAACTTTGAACTACAACTTTTCCCTCTGAAAGGTGCTGCTCTTTTACTTTAGATACTTAAATTCATTTTACTGCTGATACTTATTCCTGTGCTTTTACATAAAGGTCCGCTCTGCAGTAGTGTGCAGTGGTCAGTTCAGTGTTGGTGAAACAACATGCACAACATTATGCAGGCCATGTCTTTGAGACTCTACGATCTCTATATGAACCTGTACACAAGCAGATTGGGCATTTAAATAAAACATATGAATTTATAGTACTGTTTCAGCCCTTTGTGTGTGTGTGTGTGTGTGTGTGTGTGTGTGTGTGTGTGCGCGCGCGCGCGCGCCCATCTATCTCTGTGCCAAGTCTCCCTAATGAGCCATGCCAAACAGGTTCATTTACTTGACTGATGTTCGCTTCCATAAAGGATTCATTCCAAATTAAACTTAAGTTAATACTCTGTGAAGTTTGCTTAGCTCTGAGGTAAAGACCTCTTTCAACAGCTAAGACATCAGACACATTTCTAGTCTGCGTCGCTGTGTGCGGAGAACTTTGCTGATTGACTGTAGACCAATCACAGCCTTGTATGGAATCATTACTCTGCCCATTACTCAGCAGAGCACATTAGCTGAACCTTAACCGACAAATGACCACTGTTATTGCTGCAGATAAGTGGCCATAAACCACAAAGCCAACTCAGGATGTTTTACAGCAGCATAACCCTTTATGGCTGAGTAGCCAATACAGCACCTTGTGTTGGCCTCATAATTTAGTTTAATGGCTAATTTAACTAGCTCAGCCATTTAAAGTTAAACAGGTTAAGAGGTTGAAATCTGCTTTGTTGTTGTACAGAGAAATGTATCTTCTGTACATCTCCTTCAATTCTTTCCCTAACTCTTTCACATTTCCTCTCATAGAACCTCTTCCACTATGTGACAGACATCCAGAACAACGGTGTGGTGAAGATCCCTGATGCTAAAGGGGATGATGCATGGAAGGTTTACTTCGAGGAGACTCCTCAGGAGATTGTGGATGAGTTTGCCATGCGTTATGGAGTGGAGTCCATCTACCAGGCAATGACGTATGTTCCTATCAGAACCCGGTGGTTTGCATGCAACATTGGTTGTTTTCATGCATCGAGCTCTCTTTAAGCTGTTAGTATTCAGCTTTTGCTTACATGTCTGTCCCTCGTTTGCAGCCACTTTGCCTGCCTGTCATCTAAGTACATGTGCCCAGGTGTGCCTGCAGTAATGAGCACCCTGCTGGCTAACATCAATGCCTACTACGCCCACACCACCCAGGCAACTAACAACGTCTCTGCCTCTGACCGCTTTGCTGCCTCTAACTTCGGGGTGAGTCACTGCAGGAACATTTAGCAGAAACAGGAAATTCAACAGGTGTCACAGTTCTCAAATTTATCCAAAAACCACAATATCATAATTCTTGTGTTGACTAAACACTTATTTTTCATGATGCTAAATTTCTGTATTTTGTGTTTCTGTATAATGTTAAAATCTGTTATTATATATGTTGTAATACCCACAGAAAGAGCGATTTGTCAAGCTTCTAGATCAGCTGCACAACTCTCTGAGGATCGACCTGTCCATGTACCGAGTAAGATATATCTCCACCTCACTGTGTATACCTACATGTTTATCTTCTGTAATATCTGTAATGCTTCTCTTCCTAGTGATATCTCTCTCTTTGTGAGAAACGGTAAAACAAAGCAGCTGGATGTGTTAATTAGAATGACAGCTCCTCTGTAACATGCATAGACACATTCATCAAGCAATGCACACTCACACAGTAACAAGTGTAAGGGTTCGATGGCAGTGGAAATTTTGCGACTGTGCTGGATCTTGTCCATGGACACAGAAAACACACTGGACAAAGATGGATGTGATATCATCTGTTGCTGCTGGTTCACTGTTTTTTTTTTTTTGTTTTTTTTTTTGTCTTACTGCAGAACAATTTCCCAGCCAGCAGTCCTGAAAGGCTACAGGACCTCAAGTCCACAGTGGACCTCCTCACCAGTATCACCTTCTTCAGAATGAAGGTACAGTCCCTTATTCTTCCACCTTCCTTCAGAGACGTTTTGGTTGTCTACTCTATTCCATTTACTCAGCCTACCCATAAGACTATTATTGGTGTTCAAAGTGTTCATTTTAAAATGAACCTAGAATTGAATTTCAAGGGAGAATCCTATCTTCTTTGTCTTTGTCACGGAGACCACCATGAACACAATTCTGAAGTGCAATAATCTGGTGAATTAATGAGTCAGTGACTTGTCTGGTTGAACTGTCTCTCACTCTCGCTTTCTCTGTGTGTTCAGGTCCAAGAACTTCAGTCTCCACCCAGAGCCAGTCAGGTGGTGAAAGATTGTGTCAAAGCCTGTCTCAACTCCACCTACGAGTACATCTTTAATAACTGTCATGAGCTCTACAGCCGCGAGTATCAGACAGACCCGGTAAGAAGCAGCAACAAACTGAATGTCTGTGTGGGTGTGAGTGAAAGTCTCTCTCTCTCTCTCTCTTTCTCTCTCTCTCTCTCTCTCTCTCTCTCTCTGGTTTTCCCTCAGACTGACATCACATTGTTTGTTTTTTTCCCCAAGTAAATATTACATTTTATTTTGGTGTGAGTGTGTGTCAAATACTCTGTATTTGACTTTTATTTTGGTAAATACAACTTGGCACTTACCACTTTAGTAAAGACGATACCATAGCAATATGTGTTGCTCTGTCTCTACCTCTGATTGTTGGCAGAACCAACCCAGTCTGTTTTCTCTGGGTTGCCAGGTTTGTCTATGGAGCACTTTTAATGGCCAGCTTGTGGTCACTCTGTCTACATTTAGTTAATTACTTTGTTAATTTCTGGTAGCTCTGATCTGGTGCCTAGATCAGCTGCCACCCTGTATTGTCAGCTCGGTGCTAGATATCATTGGAATGAACTTTTTTTGTTGCAAATGTCCAAAGATTAGTGTACTTTTACTTTTACTTTTCTTTGGCCTGTATTTGGTTGACTTTCTCAGAAAAAACAAACAGGATAAATCAGTGTCTATCTCCAAACTCACAGAAAGAGTTGACTTAGTAATTGTTTCAAACTTGGCCAGGAGTTTTCTTCATGAATTCTTATAAGTTGAGGTCTCCTTGATTGGTCCTTGACTAATCACATTGCTTGGCTAAAATATTACTTGTACTAAAGGATTTTTGAATAAGACCACCCTCTTTGCTTGATTTCTGCAGTGGCTTCAGTGATGTGTAAAATGCATTGTGACTCTGGTGTGTGTGCATGTGTGTACTTTGTATCTGTGTGAGGAGTGTCCCCATCATCCTCTCAGTCTGAGTGGGCCAGGCTCTTCCCTCCATCACTCCTGCACAAGATTTCAACAGGGATTTCTAGAACTTGCTTTGAGTCCTCATTAAAGCACCAGTCCCATTCAGACTCTCTGGTGAATTTCAAATAAGCATTTTTTCCTTTGAATAAAACATTTCATCCTGAGGGACGTTGCTATATTTTGTTGAAATCTCTGCAAGATCATTCTTCACTCGTCAACCCCTGCAGGGCTCGGCTTAGGTTTTTTTCTTCCTGCACATCTTCAGCTATTTCAAAGAAGTCATCCAGACAGTTGACATTCGGAGTCTGTTTAAAGCTGTTTGAACAGCAAATGTTGAATATGTATGAGAAGTTGAATTAACAACACAGTCAAGAATTTCCTTCAAAAAATTCTCTCTGTCTCCAACAATAAAAAATAACATTAGTAAAACTCACATTGAGAGTAGTGAATGGTCACACAATTACACAATTTCAGGACTATGTTACTTTTCGAAAGATTTGCCCCATGGTTATCTTATCCAATATGTCACTAGAGGTTTGATGTGTGCAGCGTGGCTTTAAAGTAAAAAACAGACATGGTTTGGCTTTAAAAGCTCTTTACATAATTATCAGAACATATTTATCTGCAGAGTATGGATGATATATAGGATAAGCTGTGTCATATTTTAAGTAAAATGACCAGGAGGCATAAGTCAGATAAAAAAAAGAACCTCTGTGTTAATTTTGTTGTGATTCCCAGGCCAAGCAGGGCGCCGTGCCTCCTGAGGAGCAGGGACCAAGCATCAAGAATCTGGACTTCTGGTCCAAACTCATCACACTTATTGTCTCCATCATCGAGGAGGACAAGAACTCCTACACTCCCTGCTTAAACCAGTATGTTTCTATATTCTCTCTAAGCCTCTTTCATCATTTTCATCAAATTTGATCACATTTCCTTATTAATGGCATTTTCATTTCCTTTTGCACTGTTTACCCTGAATCTTCTCTTAATACCTCTACAAACACACTTTCCACTTCCAGGCTGTTATCTGTTTCCTTTCAAACTGCATATACAGTAAGCCTGTCTCCTTTTCTCATCCATCAAGATTTCCCCAGGAGCTCAATGTGGGTAAAATCAGTGCTGAAGTGATGTGGAACCTGTTTGCTCAGGATATGAAATATGCAATGGAGGGTGAGTGCATATCATTGATACTCTGAGCTGTTAGATAAATGTAACCAATAACAGTGATTTTGTGGTTGAAGCACTATTTGCGCTAATTACCATACACGCAGACACAAAAGACAATAAAGTGCAGCTGATTTGAACATCATAATGATATTTAGTAGGTTGAATTAATTACTTTACTATTTCCAGTGGTTTAGATGTAAATACTGATACTGTAAATACTACTAAAGTACTTTACAGTATAAATTACATTTATTAGGTCTGTTCAAAATCAGTCCTGAAGATTTAATAGTCATTAAACAATCACAAGTAGTTATATGCTAATATGGGAGACGCCACACGCACTGCAGGTAGTTTTGACCACATGAGAATATTTTTTCCTCATCCCATGAAGGTATGGACCAAATTTCATGACAGTTAATCAAATGGGTTTCGAGAAACAGTTAACTGGCCTTAATGGAGCTCCCTATTAGATAGACAGATTTTATTGTCCCCAAATGGGAAATTAGAATCCAGCTCCATTACTATATACAGGCAGACAAAACAAGTAATACATAGTGGGTTCCTGTGATTTGTGGGCCATGGAGCTCAGAGTGGCCATAGCAGAGGGGAATAAATTTTGGTTAATCTACATTCAAATGGATATTGAAAAGTCCATTATCTTCTGTTGAAGAAATATTAAGTATCGCACTGATAATACACAAATTGTTTGATTTATGGTTGGTTTTGTGTTACCCCGCGCACACAGACGACTACATTATTTGCGGTAGCCATATTTCCCAGTTGAAAAATGATCAGAAAAATGGATCCTAAATGTCCCCGCTCCCATACCAAGTTTGGTTTTGATAAATGAAAGACTAAAGAAGTGTTAGGGAAGAAAAAACTTTTTTCCAAATTATGCAAAGCCCAAAGGGTCACACTCAATTTTGGGTTTGATTAATATTTAATTTTTTCAACAAAATTGGTGTGATTGGCCCTCTTTTTGTAATGGCCTTGAGCTCTGCTATGACAGCTACACAAAACGTGATGTACTTAAGCCATCGATTATATTCAACAAGTCTACGAGGGTGTGTGTTTGACTCTGGGCTGATGCCTCTGTATGCTCAGTGGATCTGCGGTAACTGCAGGTGGACTTAGACTAAACACCCAGGAAAAATGAGCTTTTAACTCAACACAAATTTGTCTGTTTTATTCTTTCACTCAGAGCATGAAAAAAATCGCTTGTGCAAGAGTGCAGATTACATGAACCTGCACTTCAAGGTCAAGTGGCTGTACAATGAGTACTGCAAAGACCTGCCCTTCTTCAAAAGCAGAGTGCCTGAATATCCTGCGTGAGTAGCTGCTCGACCAACACTGTCTCCTCCACAGACATACACAAACTGAAAGCAGAAAATAAGGATATAGGATTAAATGCTTTTTCCTTGTGTGATTTTGGCTTCCTGGTTTTCTGCTCTCCATAGGTGGTTTGAGCCATTTGTCATCCAGTGGCTGGACGAAAACGAGGAAGTATCTCGGGACTTTCTGCACGGTGCTTTGGAAAGGGACAAAAAAGATGGGGTAAAAGTTTGCATCTTCTCTTCTCCTTATCATCCCTTCACTCCTCTGGAAATGCTGAGTCGCTCTTGCTGTTCAAACAGAATTACTGTAATCCATCCTTCCTCTGTCACACAAGTTATCAGCCAAAGTTTCCTCCTCCCTCCTGCTCTGCCTCCCACACTCCCCCCTGCCACTCCTGCATTCTTCAAAGGCAGCAACAGAGGCATGGACACAGCAGTGCAGACTCAAAGCAGAAAGTGTGTTTGGGCTAAGAGGGTGTTTAAGTACAAGTGCTTCGTCCTTTAAAGAGATTCTTTGGAAGTTGAAAGAAGTGTGGATGAGACATGCGTGTGCTTGAGGAGGTAGATAACTCTGTGACAGAAGGATATTGTGAATTAATGGCCTTATTCTAGAGTTTTGACTGCAGGAAAACTGTTCTCACCTCATTACCCAGACTCCCTGGAAGAGCACCTACACACTCACCTCTAGCCAATTAGGGACCAGGCACAAACCAGCTGCCAATTACAAGGAGACAGACAGGAGCTCCCACCTGTCAGCCAATGGCTGTCTAACTGGCAGTATGTCTGAGGCTCTGTACATGCAGTGAAAGATATCAAAGGTTCAGTTTAATATAGCGTCAAACAGTCCATCTGTATGGTTGTAGGTGCCCAGAGGTCACATCTTCCTAGCTTCCCTTGAATCCCAGCTTCTCACCTGCTACCCCTACTCATCCCTCTCCTTTACTCTTTTCCCCAATCTGCCATACGTTCTCCTATTTACTCCCTTCCCCAGTTTTTAATCTTCTTGCGCATCTCTTCTGCCACACAGTTCCAGGTCACATCAGAGCATGCTCTGTTCTCCTGTTCGGTGGTGGATGTGTTTTCCCAGCTCAACCAGAGCTTTGAGATCATCAGGAAGCTAGAGTGTCCAGATCCGCAGATTGTAGGACACTACATGAAGCGATTTGCCAAGGTAGATTCAGAAAAAATGTTATTTGTAGTTAAATCATACCTTATAAAATGAATATACTAGAAAGATGTATTTAAAAACGTTTTTTAATAGAGGTCACATCATTTTTAAACACAGAAACTGAACTACAGCTATCCCCTAATGACTAATGACCTGGTGCTCTTTCTTGTTTCCCTCTCCAGACCATCAGCAATGTACTTCTCTCTTATGCTGATATAATCTCCAAGTTGTTTGCCAACTATGTCACCATGGAGAAAGTGGTGAGTGGCCAAAGACTTGATGAACCAAATAGGATTCTTGCAGAGGAGTTAGCTCAACCAGCTCTAAACAAACATTACATTTCAGCTTAACTGCTCAACATGCTTGAAAATCAGTTGATTACATTACACTTTTTGTTCAGTATATCTATGTCTTTTTTTGTAAGCTTTGTTTCTTTGAATGCCGTACCAAAAGATGCATTTTGAATTTGGAAGCGTTTCAGACAAACATATGCTATCTTGTCCTCAGCCCTGCATCCTGATCAACAACATCCAACAGCTGAGAGTTCAGCTGGAGAAGATGTTTGAAGCGATGGGTGGAAAAGATGTAAGTGATTCCCCTTTTTTTGTCCAACCCCCATCTCTTATTTTTCATCAGCTAAACCTTTTGCATGTGCATGTGTGTCCATTAGTGACATTATTATTTCCCAGTTATTCCAATCAGCTCTTCTGTTTTTCTGTTTGCGTGGTGTGTGTGTGTGTGTGTGTGTGTGTGTGTGTGTGTGTGTGTGTGTGTGTGTGTGTGTGTATGTGTGTGTGTGTGTGTATGTGTGTTTCTCCTTACGTGCCTTAGCTGTGTGTGGAGGCCAGCGATATCCTGAAAGACTTGCAGGTTAAGCTCAACAATGTCATGGATGATCTCAGCAGGGTCTTTGCTGTCAGGTAGAAACTCACCCACACACAATAACATCCACACTCACTTGGAGAAATCTGCGCCGCAAACTCCTAAACACTGACATTAACGTGATGTATATTTAGATGTATCTTCTACTTTCTACTTAGATGTATCTTCTACTTTTTCCTCTGCAGTTTCCAGCCTCATATTGAGGAGAATGTGAAGCAGATGGGAGACATCTTGGCTCAGGTGAAGGGAACTTCAAATGTAGGAAATGCCAGCAGCGTGGCCCAGGATGCTGACAACGTCCTGCAGCCCATCATGGAGTTCCTGGACAGCAAGTAAGGAGATCTGCCTTTTTAGTGGCAGTCTAAAATGATTGTTCAGTTTTGTTGGCATTTTATCATTATTATTATTTATGCAAAGTCAGACAAACTTGTGGATGCCTCTTTTTTGCCTCAGCAATGGTTACGTTAGCGTAGTTTAAATCGATGTGTAAATGTCTATGAGGTGAAGTTGCAGCTCAAGAGGAGTTAGACCAGCAATCCACACACAGAAGTTTAATAGCTGTGTGCAATTTCCCCACTTTTTAGACTTAATTCCATGATCATCTAAAGATCGTGTCAAGTTAATGTTATTACTCAACATTCAAACTGTTCATAGAGATGTAAGAAAGGCAAAAAAATCTACGAGTTGATTTGACTGTGGATGAGAAGCAAAAGTAGTGACATTCCCCAAAGTCTCAGCTTTTGTGCTTCTCTGACAACTCTTTGTGGTCATGAGGGGATTTCTAGCAACCGCCCATTTTTGTTCCTTCTTCTGCTTTCTTTTTTTAAATAGCTTTTTCTTCAACAGAACTGTGTTTGCCTTGTTCTGCTGCTTATTATTCATCTCCCCCCCACCTCTTGCCAGCTTGACTTTGTTTGCTAAGATCTGTGAGAAGACTGTGCTGAAACGTGTGTTGAAGGAGTTGTGGAAACTTGTGATGAACACCATGGAGAAGACCATCGTCCTGCCGCCACTCACAGACCAAACGGTGAGAGCGCACAGACCTACGAATGCACATGCAGAGGCATACAACCATACAAGTTTAGCATTTATACCTGACTTTGCCTGCACATGCAAACAAATATATACATATACATCCCTAGCGCCTACTCCAAAAACTTTATTGATTAATGAGAGTGTGCATGTTCCTGTGGAAAAACTACATGGAATACAAAGGTCTGAGTATTTTATATGTTCTGATGATGACCACAGCATAAGGTAGACAGCAGAAAACGGATTTGCAAAACATGCTGCACACATGCGCCTACACGTTCAAAAACCCACACCTCCAACTGCAAAGGCAGCATCAAAAGAAAAGGGAGGAGGAGGTGGAGAATGAGGAATAATACAGAGGCAGACATTTTGTGTGTGTTGTGATTCAAGATGGCCCTCCTATAAAACAAATGCTAGCGGAGGATCAAACTGCTTTTGCATCACATCTATATGGCACCCTATCCACTCCTCAACCCTTACACACATTATACTCAACATCGCCCCCGGTACCTTCATTCATCCAAGGAATCAAGATGAAACCCTTTAAAAAAAACAATTTAAAAAAGGAAAAAGGAGTGCACCATATCATTATAACACCAGCTCATGGCTGCTCTCCAGTATGTCAGCTAACAATTATTTGGAGAGATTCCTGATTTATGAGTAACGCACAACAGAGTGGCAGAAAGTGTTTGCCCAAAGGATCTGGCCCACTTCCAAAAAGAATCATACATTTTGGAAAGCAGCCACTTGTTTTCTTTTGTTTTGGATATATATGTTCTTATTTGTGTTTGGTTATAAACGAAAGAGCCTCATATCACGATTAATAGGTGATTATTAATCTCTGACTCTCATGCTCAGTGCTCGCCAGTACTGTATTATCTCAACTGGCTCAGCCTCAGATGCCATATGTCTGCAGTTAGCCTCTGTGCAATTGAGCAGAGACAGGAAAGAAGACAGGTAAAGATAGTGAGCTCTGAATGTGTGTAAAAGCCACATGATCATCTTTAGAATAACTGTTTCTTCATCTGAAGTTGCTGTGAAAAGCTAAAACACATTCATAGTATTTAAGTTACTTATTTGCATTCTTAGACCAAGCTTTAGACAGGTATAAATTGGTTCCTCATCCTTCCAGCCCTGAGGCCCAAACTTGTGTTTTTGATTGATGTGGGGCTCTTTGCAGCTTGACTGACCCTTCTCTCTGGTTGTTGTTGTTGTGATTACTATTACATCCTGCTCCCACCGCTCTCCCTCCACAGATGATTGTAAGTACAGCACTCCTGCGTGTGTGTCTGTCTGTCCGTCCACGGTGGTTGATTCTCTGCTATATGTGGCTGCGATCTTCCCCTGTTATTTGCCCCACATCACACCCTGTCCCTTCTCACAGCCTCACTTCTCTGATCTATCCCATATCTCTTCTCTTCTCTTCTCTTCTCTTCTCTTCTCTTCTCTTCTCTTCTCTTCTCTTCTCTTCTACAACTGTCTCTCTTTTGAGAAGACAGAAGCATGGTGCATTCCTGACTGATTCTGATAGGTCCCACCCCCTCAACAGTCTCCACCAATCAATGCCCCCCTCTTCTGCTGTCTCTTCTTCCTGAACACTCTCCTCAATAAGGAAGTGGTACTCCTCTCTTGCGCCTGGTGTTGCCTTGTTTCTTCTCATGCATTGTGTCCTTTTACCGGGACTCTGGTGGGGTGACTCTGATCTCTCGGTGGCTTGGTATCTGGTGTCCTGCCCCCACATCCAGCCCCCCCCCCCCCCCCCCCCCCCCCACCGTCCCTTTTCAACCCCGCCTCCCCACTGTCCAACCCACCTTTCTTCCCTGGTTGAAATGTGTCCTGATCACCCCACCCCCCCACTGTGGGTTTGTTGCTTGCATCTGATCTATTTCAACACTGCAATCTTCTCTCAGTATACTGTACAACACTGTACTGTACTGTATGTCTCTGCAGACCTGTCATGTTGGTCTGTCCTGGTTTGGTTTCATGTTCTGTTGTCACATGATTATTGTAATCCTGGTATTATGTTGGTAGTCCTGATGCACACACACTGCTGTTTCTTACCAGAGGTTATTGGTTTGGGTTGATGTTTGGTCAAAATACAACATGGATTCAATGAGCTGTGCAAAAATGCTCTTAAGTATTTAAAGCTCTATGTGATGACTTTTTCATACTGAACAGCTAACCATTCATTTTTATTTTTATTTTTATGTGTTGTAGTTTACTACTATGTATGTAGCAAAACAGTTGCCTATTTTAATCTGTAGTGTACCTGATAGTACACTGACACAAAATTGTAGGGCTGCACAGGAGGAGATGCGTTTTTATTATTTCTAATCGACAGAATAAATGTTTCTTGTTCTGAATATGTGAATTCTGACCTTACGTCCAAGGTTCAAAGACATCACATAGAGCTTTAATGTCATGAATTCTATGATATATTGATGTTTTTATTTCTGATTTCTACTTTTTCTTTTTTTAGAAGAATAGTTAGACTATTAGTATAGACATTTAGGGAAATACGCCTTTTCGATTTATTGCTGAGAGTTAGATGAGAAGATCGATCATCTCATGCATGTGTATTACATGTTTACCACCTGGGGGGCCACATGTTACATGTCAAAACCTCCCTACACGTTCTGTCTATATCTCTACTATTGCTATCCAATCAATGCAAAAGCAAAACAGCTCACAGCTTCACTGTTTTGGTTCACTGTCGTCGCTCTTATAGGGCAATTTTTGGCAAATAAGCAAAAAAATTGCAGTACATTACCTTCTGAGCGCCAAAGAGCACACAGGCAAGTTAGCAGCTATCTGGTGGACATAGTAGCCTTGTCACAGCTTGTTTCGTGCTGTAACTATTTCTTGGTAATCAGCTGCCAAGCACAGCGACTTCCTCTTTCACACGACTCCCCGTCAAATCAAAATTTGTACTTTTTACATTCTGTTAATGTAAACACAGGAAATGTGATGTATTCATTGGTGTTAGCAAATTTATTTACCCTCTGAGGGAGGAAGGCTAACTGTCTCCACCCTTTATGCTAAGCTAAACTAACATGCACAGACATGAAAGTAATATCAATCTTCTCAATCTAACACTTTGCAAGACAGTGAATAAGTGTATTTCCCAGAATGTCCAACTATCTCAGGAACTTATGTTTTTGAAGTACTGTATATCTTATTTCACTGATAGAAAAATTGTTTTTTTGCGATGACATTTGATGTCATCATATATTAGGTTACATTTGGATTTTTACTGTACACTATTCCTTTGGCCTCTTGGTACTGTGTTTTCTTTCTGTGAATAGCATGTAAAAGTGGCCCCAGTATCAGAGCACATAGTGTGGTACAATGTTTGTATAGCTTCCCATAAAACAGCACAGTAATGATCATCAAAATGGATTTGACGACTACACAGAATAAGCAAATGTCACCTGTATATTTTTGAAGAAAAATTTTGTCACATCCTTTTACTCCTGTCACAGTTGTCTGTGTCTATTTATGACATTAAAAATGTTCTTGTTGGTTTGGGGACCAAAACAATTAGATAACTGAAAGAAGGTGACATCTCTGGCAGTGATGATGCACATCCTCAAATTTTTTTTACATTTTGCGAAGCAACGCGTGCACTTTTAATTGCGTACTAATCAATGAGAGTGAAGTCAGACTGCAGGGACTGGCCACTGCTTGAAGTATTAACCACATGCTGTCTTTCCAGGGGAGGCTGAAGAGTGCTTCTCACAGTGATGTAAGGACTAAACCCCCTTCAGATCAATGTGTCTTGTCTCTCTCCTCTATGTCTTCTCTCCGTGTCTCCGTCTCTCTCCCATAGTTCCCCAGTCAAACAAAGCGGTGGAAATATTGATTTTTACACAATATTCCTCTATAGTGTTGTTTATATGCAGTGGAAATCCCACTATCAGAAGCTGTAGCGAGTAGCTACCTGCACTCCCAGCTTCACCACAGGTCATACACTCTAATGTGCTCTACATGCAGACATTTAAGACAAACGCACCACAAACCCCAGGTCAAGGAGTTCACCTCATTTGATCTGAATTTCAAAAACAATATATAATTTTGTTTCATATCTACATCACTACAATGCAAGAAAAAATAGGGTGTGGTTCAGCTACAGAAACACAAGTCAAAGGCAAAGCTGTAGGCCAGTGATGGTGTGCCCTTTTGACTTGGGCTTTATAGTGCATTTGAATTGGCTTCTAGGGTCAGCAACAAAACGTACAACCATCTACTTTATTATCTGACAGTTAAATATAGTGTAGCACCAAAGGGAGTCTGGATTATTCCCACATGACCTTGCCAGGCATTGCTTGTCTGACTGAATCTTAAGTATCTGAAATGCAGACTAGACACAACACAGTTTCAAAGGTTTATGTTTATTTTTCTCTGTAGTTTTACAATATAATGAACCTCCTGTGCACAGATTTGTGTATTTTGTTTCATTTTCTGGCATTATTGCAATGTTGTTTGTAAGGCTATCAAAACTGGCTGTAGCTACATACAGTTTATTATAAAACTATATTTCATGTCTAGAGCTGTAACCAAAGATAAGATTTGAAGGACCAGTCAGTAGCACTCACATACATATCCTCTTACCAGAGTATTGCATTAGGCTGGACTTCCTGTAAATACCTGCGTACACCACAGTGCAACTGCAGAGCTGATACGTGTGTGTGTGTGTGTGTGTGCGTGTGTGCGTGCGTGCGTGCGTGCGTGCGTGCGTGTGTGTGTGTGTGTGTGTGTGTGTGCATGTGTGTGTTCAGGAGTGCACAAGTCTGTCTACTTTATTGCCCTTGCCATAAGCTGAACCACTTTCCCTTCTCTTCGTACTGAAATGTCTCACTGTGTGTGTGTGTGTGTGTGTGTGTGCTTGCGTGCGTGCGTGCGCGCGCGTGCAGCGGAGTGTCATTCTTTTGAAATGAATAAAACACAGATAAGTATGATAACAGCACTTGAAGGAAAAAGTACCTTGACACCTGTAAAGCGGCTTAGAGTGACTGTTTATGAATGTGTGTGTCAGAAACGTTGCTGTCCTCTGTGTGACACTAAGCCGTTTACCGCTGCCCTGTTTTGTCATGATAATAACAACACTCTCCTCTCTCTGCCTGTCTACTTTTCTTCTATCTGTCTCTCTCTCTCTCTGTCTCTTCCAGGGCACTCAGCTCATCTTTAATGCTGCCAAGGAGCTGGGACAGCTGTCCAAGCTGAAGGTACAATATGTTTTTCCACCTCTGGGCTCTCGACTCTAATTGCTTAGAAAATATGAAGCAGAGTCTATGAATGGACAGATAGGTCATTTCAGTCTGTGCTTTTCTCGCTGTTGTCTTCAGGAGCACATGGTCCGCGAGGAGGCCAAAGCACTCACACCTAAGCAGTGTGCTGTGATAGAGCTGGCTCTCGACACCATCAAGGTAGAATCTCACCATTACATGTGCATGACAAGTGGAAGTGCTGTAAATCAGTTATCTGCATATAGGAAGATGTGATGAACTGGAAAAAGCATTTGAAGTTACAGGAGACAGAAAAACCTTGCATTTATTAAATAGATGTAGTACTTAGTACTTACACCATGGTTTCCTACTGCACAGAAGCTTTAGTGATGTCCCTCACTTGTCAGTCACTTTGGATAAAAGCATCTGCCAAATTAGTAAATGTAAATGTAAAACATGAGAAAAAATCACTGTATTAACTGTCTGGGCTTTTCAATTACATGCAAATAAAATCAGTACCTTGAAACGTGCCAGAGGTAATATACATATTTAATGAATACTTCAATGCCTCTATTGAGCTGTTGCTACAGAGACAGAAACTGTGATCACTTGTAGTAGAGTGATTTTGCAAGTTTTATCAATGTAAGGCTGCAATTAACAATTATTTTACATTATTTAATCCATTGCCATTTTTTTAATCAAACAGATGTATCATTATTCTATAAAACAACATTGAAAAATACCAATCACAATTTCCTAGAGCACAAGGTGATGACAGAAAAAGATTGTTTAACATGTTTAATTCACTATAAATTAAGTCAAGATGAATGAGCAAATTGTTACATTATAGAATCAAGTTTAAAGATCAAATGTTTGGCATTTATGCTTGAAAAATAAGGGTTATTCAATTGTGAAAATAGTTTCTGATTGATTTTCTGTAGATCCACTGATCAATTAATCAACTAATCATTATAGCTCTAGAATATTGTGTGAATGAATGAAAGCTAACATTGAACATCACAGTAGTTTACTCTGTCAGATATCGCTCTGTTTTCTTTAGTTAAAGAGTACCTTTCTTTCTTCAATAATCTTTTGCAGGAGGACATTAGTTAATATCTGTTTTCTGTTTTGTTTGTCTGCCTTTGTGTCTGTTAGCAATACTTCCATGCGGGTGGTGTGGGTCTGAAGAAGACTTTCCTAGAGAAGAGTCCTGACCTCCAGTCTCTCCACTACGCCCTCTCCCTCTACACGCAGGCCACAGACAAACTCATTAAGACCTTTGTCCAGTCACAGAACACACAAGGTAACGTGATGGTCTTTACTCTGCTTAACACTCTTCCCTTTCTCTGTCTGAATTTTGATTACCTTTACTTTCCAGTATCTTCATTTGCTAGATACAAACTTAATTTCCAATGTTATGTAATTCTCTGATTCTGATTTTTTTTTTTGCTATGCTCTCTGAGGAGCCACTTTTCTCAGTGTCTCCCACTCTTTTGTTAACACTAGGGTTTCCCAAACAGCGAGCTTTATATCCTGAAAATGTCTCATGTGCTTTTTAGAGTCAGGGCTGTAGCAGCACAATATTTTCTCCGTGTTTTGAATTGCTGAGTCTCCTGGTAGCCAGCCTGCGGAAACACAGAGACTATTCTTTACATGATCTGACAGCTATTTGCAATGAAAAAAATAAATACCCACCCCCTCTTTTCTCTCGCTCTTTGATTCCGTTGTTCAGCCTCCATCCCACCATCAGATGGGTACAATAACAGCCGTCATCTTTGTGGAAGTGCTGATGCTGACAGACTGTCCCTGAGCACCGCTGGTAGAAATGCCATTTGAGTGGATGATCGTTTAAAATTTAATTAGGCAAAATGCCATGCGGTTTTTGGAGCATACATAAAGTGCATTTTACTGCAGTAGATCTGTGTGAGCTTTGCATGTTGCAGGACGATCTTCACACTGCACATCAGGAAAAAAAAAGAGCTGATTCTGTAGAAATAACTCATTAGACAAAAGCTTTTTACATGTTGGTTTGTTTTTCTCATCTTTCTACGTGTCTCTCCTTTCTCTGTCTACTCCCTTCTTCTGCCCCGTCTGTGGGCCAGTGTTCGGCGGGAAGGGGGTGAGGTTCACCACTAGTGAGGATGTTTACCCAGAAAAGGGTATGTGGCATTCAGGCTCAGAGCCTGAGATATCCAGGACTACCAGAGAGTCTCCAGACCAAAGCCCAACTCTCTCCACCCTCCACCTCCCTCCCCATGTGCATCCTGAAACTCCCCTGCCTGCTCAAACTCATCCCAGCAGACAAGTGCAATGCACTGACTCAACATACTTCCTCTCTTTTTCTCTCTATCTCTGCCTTTTTACACATACATGCCCACCACAACAATATAAACATGGACTGTATGCATTCATGCATGTAATGTAAACACTGATGTCTGTATGTATGGAGCTGCACTGAATACATACGCGATGGACTGTATGTATGAGCAGACACTTGACGCATGATGTGCGGACATCAGACAAAAAGAGCAGAAATGCATCAAAGTGTGGAGGAATCCTGATCCAGCATGATGTCACAGAGAGAGGCCGGAGGCCGAGCAAGTGCGCGTGTGTGTGTGTGCGTGTGTGCGAGTGGCTGAGCCAGAGCAATGTGACTGAGTGAGACTGAAGGTTACTGAAGCAGAAGCACAGTGTATTGTGAAAACAGAGAGGAAATCCTTCCCCCCACGTTACCACCCCGCCCACTGTGTCTGAAGTGAAAGACGCTGATGAAGAGGAGTAGATTATGAAGACGATGATGGCTGTCGGCTCAGTTTGTCTGGGAGGGTCATCCGTCCCTGCCTGCTCTGTCATCACACACAAACACAGACAGAGACAGACACACACAGACACACACAGAAACACACACACACACACACACACACACACACATACACATACAACCATTACAAAAAGCTCCCACGTGCAGTGCAGCCCTGCCTGCAGCAATGATGAGAAAAGGGTGCTCAACTCATCTCCCCTTCACAGACTGAACCAATCAGAAGCAGTCCCTCAGGTCATGTGGTCTGATTTCTGTCACTTTAGATTTGTATCAAAAGATTTGACTTTTTCTCATAAACACACACACGCAGGATGATGCAGGAGCTCTAAAAATGAATTTAACAATTTGAATACTTAATGCTGGATATATATCAAATTGTGAACTAAAAAATTAAGTTTTTAAATAGATGGTTTTCAAAGTAAAATATTTCAATACAATCCATTCAATGTAATATAAATTTCCACATGACATTTTCAGCAGTGGTTAAATTTCATAATAAGGTATTTAGTGGCTTATAAAATTCAAATTATTATGGTCTTTGTTAGCTTCCATGGTGGAGGTATATATAGAAAACAAGCTGCTAAGGAATGTAAATTCACTTCCTGCCAGGAACATTTCACCAGATAGTTATTCCAGCCATATTAGAGTAGATGATTTGAGAAGGATGAATGGACGAAGCACAGTGGAATTTATTCTTATGAACTGAAGGAGGACTTTGATCTGTGGGGACTGTCATTCTTACACGCTGCAGGCTATAAGCTGCATTATTTGTAGTTGAAATAATCAAGGGCCATTTGTGAATATGGAGTGAACTTGGCCGATGATTCAGTGCGATCGCAGTACAAGTTTGAGATTTAATGTCTATTCTGGTGAACATTTGCAATATGGTACAAAATATGCACCTCTGATTGCTGTGCTTGTTTAAGAAGAAAAGCCTGTGCTTTTCTGGCAACATCTTCCTGCCAGCAAAGTTTCTTTCTCATATTTTATGGACGTCCTCCACAGTGTAGACAAGGCCAGATGGATGAATGCTGCTCTCTTCGGTCCTGTTGGCAGCGAGACCAACAATCCCATAATGCTCCCCAGAGAGCTGCATGCCAGGAACACTCTGCCGTCTAACTCCCACAGACACCTTGTTTAGTGGGCGGCTGGTTGAAAACACACGCACACAGGCTGCTGGTTGTCGCCACAAAGATACCGTTGACAGAGTGAAGACACTAATTAAAACATTGAAAATTAATGTCCATCTGTCACTGTATCCTTCTGGAGTTGTATGTGGAATTAAAACACTTGTTCACAGCAGCAGCACAAAACCACACTGAGACACTGAGGAAAGATTTGTCCACAGTCTCCCTCCCAGACAAAAGAGTTGGAGCCTGAGTGAAGCCACCCAGACAGGGCATGCCCCTCTTCCCCCCTAAAATAGTCTTGCAGCTGAAAGTATAGAACCAAAGACCCCAAGACCTGAATTTGGGTCCAGAGTTGAGCTATTTTGGGTAGAGGGAGTACACATGGACTAACATGAACCTCAGACTAAATCCATCTGCATTCCTTATCTATAACTTTATGAATATAATATGTTGTTGTCCAGACACATCCCTCTTCACACTGTACAGCTTTATTTTGCAAGCTGGGTATTGATAGTACCATCCCTCACCAACAGGTCTGAGAGGCTGAACTACTTCTCTCTTCTCTAAGCTCCTTCCCCTTTCTTCTCCCTCTTCTTACCATGCTTGGGTAAAAGTCTTTACCAAGGAATGGGTGTGTCCACTTGTCTAGATCCATCTGAGCATGTCCTGACCTGATCTGTGTCAGGGGAACCACACTGTCAGTTTCTCAGCCTCTCTCCTGTCTTCTTCTCTGCCTCTTACTAAGAACCCTGCATCCAAACAGACACCTTGCATCTATGAGTGGGCTCAAATTACTGTCCTCGCTGAATCCAAATTGTTATCAATCAGTTGCTGAATCTGTACAAAGGCCACTCAGTCAGTGTCTAATCACAATGCAGAATGTCTTGCTGAAGGAAAAAATATGGTTATTTCAGTAGAAAACTATTAACTGAACTGTAATTATTTAGATATGTTTTGCCACTAAAAGAGGACTAATCACTTCATCAGTAAATGTATTACACTTACTGCAGTACTACCTACATTAAAAGATTCATGCCCACTCATAGCAGCTTTGTCTGATTGTCCACCTCCAGACCACAACATATGCACAAACAGATCACTATGCCCTATTTTAAATCCTCCTGTTACACAGTGATTATTTTAGTATAAAGAATTGTTGGCCTAATCATTATTTTGTCTAATATCCCAAAGGTTATAACCAAATCCATTTCAATGTTCACTTTAAGAAATTGAAATGTAATTGGTCTGTAACATGGTTTTTACAATAGGCACAGTGGCTTGTGTTGGTGTTTGGTCTGTGATAGGAGCACAAAGAGTTGATCAAGGGTATTAATGTATCCCCCCTCACTGTCTGTCTGTCCTGTCAGGCTCTGGGGTGGACGATGCCGTCGGAGAGGTGTCCATCCATGTGGAGATTTTCACTCACCCCAACACTGGAGAGCACAAGGTCACAGTGAAAGGTAAAGTTAAATGAAGTGTGTTTGTTTTTATTCTTTACTCTCTCTTTAATTCAGTAACAGTGTATAACAATGGATCAGTAAGTATGAAAGTTCGTTCTTGATGCTGGAAATAGCATTTTGACAAAACAATCCCAAATCAAGGTTTACTTGTTTTTTCCAGAGCTTTCAAACTCATTATATGGTCGACATCAGTGGACATTGTTTGCTCAATTGGAGATGCCATGGTGTAAATCATAACAACTATGTTTGCATCTCAGCTGTCCATCTCCATGATAACTGAGCAAACTCTATGCACTTATGTAACTGTGTGATACAGATGAAAGCTCCAGAAAAAGCAAGTAAGTGGACCATGAGTTGGGATAGTTGTCAAACATTCAGCATATTTAAATGTTAATAAACAAACAAGATTGTTTTCATTAGTATTCCAACATTGGCATCTCGGGCGAACCGCTTTCTTGTTTTGAATGCAATCTCACTTAGCACTCCTTTGTTGTGTCTTGGCAAGGACAAACTTCCTTATCCCATCACCTCTCCACGGGGCTCCCCCAAGGATCAGTACTGGGGCCCCTTCTCTTTGCAATATACACCACCTCCTGGGGTGTATATTACCGGCTGCTTATATTAATGCTATGCAGACAACACCCAACTATACCCATTGTTCCTGTAAGATGACCCCATGCTCTCTGGTCGGATCTCAGCTTGTCTCTCTGACATATCCATGTGGATGAAGGAACGCCAACTTCAGCTGAACCACTCTAAGACTGAACTCTTAGTCATCAAGGCCAATCAGTCTCTCCATCACAATATCAATACCAAATTGCCTCTTGATCTCTTACCCCAAACAAGGTCACGAGAAACCTGGGTGTCATGTTTGATGACCAGCTCTCCTTGTCTAACCTTGTTGCATCTGTTTCCCAGTCGTGCCACTTTGCTTTATACAACATAAGAAAAATTAGGCCTTACCTGACCCAACTCTTGATCCAGATCACTGCCTTGATTACTGCAATGCCCTTCTGGCGGGTGTCCCTTCATGCACATTGAAACCCTTACAGATGGTCCAGAGTATGGCAGCACATCTGGAATTTGATCAGCCTAAAAGGACACATGTCCCTCTATCTTGAAGAATCTTCTGAAGACTCATCTCTTCTGAGAGCACTTCCTCTCTTACTAGCACTTACAATGCACTATTGGTGGACTTCTTTATTTCATCTTCTTGCACATCACCTTATTGAGATTTAGTACTTACTACTGGTCTCCTACTGCACTGAAGCTTTAGTGTTTTCCCTCACTTGTAAGTTGCTTTCGATAAAAGTGTCTACCAAAAGAGTAAATGTAAATGTCTATGTCTATTCCCACTTCAAACAACAATTAATCAAAATCAGGGGCGTAGATTTGGTCTCAACATTGGAAGGGACGCAGCAACACTGCCACCCCTCCAAAACAAAGAGATTGACTTTTTAATGCCGTCAACCAAACGGTTTATTAACAACATTAACAACTAACCCTCTTAATTTACATTTTAGAAATGCCCATACACAAATGTAATATATGTACATTTGTTGAATTTACAGAAATGAAATATATGTTCATATGAGGTACAATCATATATGTATTTAAAGTATAGCCTATATATGTAAAATTACACATGAAACCAGTTTGAAATTGGAACAATATCATATATTGACATAAATGTCTAGCTAATAGAAACTTGTATTTTCATATGTCTGTTTAGATTATAGACATATGTTACAAAAAATATATCCATTCCAAAGTCTGTCAGTATATGTTCAAATTTAATGAGAAATTATCAGAAAGAAAAGAAAGAAAGTCATACACAAACGTGAGAATTTAATAGTACAGTAAGGCATAAAAAGTCATAAAAACCAACATAGTATAGTAAGGCATTAAAGTTGCCTTCTATCTTAATCTGCAGGTCCTTTAAGTGTGGGACGAGAGTTAAGCAGGATTAGAACCCACAACCTCTTCATTGTGAGGCAACAGTTCTGACCACCAAGCTTCATGAATACAACATAGTGCAGTAAGGCATAAAATGTCATAAAAACGGCATAGTATAATGAAGCATAAAGTCATGAAAATGACATTGTATAGTAAGGCATTAAAATGTCACATTAGTATACTATGTCGTTGTTGTGACTTTTTATTCCTTATTATACCTTATTATATAGTAAGGCCTAAAAATATCATACAAAGGTATCGCAAAGTCATAGTATAGTAAGGCATGAAAAGTCATAAAAACATCATAGTATAGTAAGGCATAAAAAGTCATAAAAATGTCAAATTATACTAAGGCATAAAAAGTCATAAAAATGTCATAGTATACTAAGTCATAAAAAGGCATAAAAAGACATAGTATAGTAAGGTATAAAAACGACATAGTATAGTAACTCATAAAAAGTCATAAAAATGACATAGTATAGTAAGGCATAAAAATGTCAAAGTATAGTAAGGCATAAAAATATCATAGTAAGGCATAAATAATATCATAGTATACTAAGACATAAAAAGTCATAGTATAGTAAGGTATAAAAACAACATAGTATAGTAAGGCATAAAAAGTCATAAAAAACGACATAGTATACTAAAGCATAAAAAGTCATAAAAACGCTAATAGTATACTAAGTCATAAAAACGACGTAGTATACTAAGGCACAAAACGTAATAGTATAGTAAGGTATAAAAACGACATAGTATAAGAAGTCATAAAAACGACATAGTATAGTAAGGCATAAAAAGTCATAAAAACGTCATAGTATAGTATGGCATAAAAAGTCATGAAAACGTAATAGTATAGTAAGGTATAAAAACGACATAGTATAAGAAGTCATAAAAACGACATAGTATAGTAAGGCATAAAAACATCATAGTAAGGCATAAAAAATATCATAGTATACTAAGGCATAAAAAGTCATAGTATAGTAAGGTATAAAAACGACTAGTATAGTAAGTCATAAATAGTCAAAAAAAACGACATAGTTTGCTAAGTCATAAAAAGTCATAAAAACGACTATACTAAGTCATAAAAAAGTCATTGTATACTAAGGCATAAAAACAACAGTATAGTAAATCATAAAAAGTCATAAAAACGACATAGTATAGTAAGGCATAAAAATGTCAAAGTATGGTAGAGCATAAAAATATCATAGTAAGGCATAAAAAACATCATAGTATAGTAAGACATAAAATGTCATAGTATAATAAGGCATAAAAAAGTCAAACAACGTCATAATATAGGTAGACATAAGAATGTCATGGTATTATGAGGCATAAAAACATCAAAAAACGTCATACTATAGTGAGGCATAAAAACATCAAAAAACGTCATAGTATAGTATGGCATAAAATGTCAAAAAATGTCATATTGCAATCAGGCATAAAAACATGAAAGAACCTCATAATATAGGTAGACGTAAGAATGTCATGGTATAATGATGCATAAAAACATCAAAAAACGTCATACTATAGTGAGGCATAAAAACATGAATAAACGTCATAGTATAGTATGGCATAAAATGTAAAAAAATGTCATTTTACAATGAGGCATAAAAACATCAAAAAACATCATAATATAGGTAGATATAATAATGTCATGGTATAGCAAGGCATAAAAACGTCAAAAAACGTCATAGTATAGTCAGGCATAAAAACATCAAAAAACGTCTTAATATAGGTAGATATAATAATGTCATGGTATAGCAAGGCATAAAAACATCAAAAAACGTCATAGAATAGCAAGACATAAAAACACCAAAAAAAGTCATAGTATAGTATGGCATAAAATGTCAAAAAATGTCATATTACAATGAGGCATAAAAACATCGAAAAACATCATAATATAGGTAGATATAGTAATGTCATGGTATAGCAAGGCATAAAAACATCAAAAAACGTCTTAGTATAGTGAGGCATAAAAGCATGAAAAAACATCACAGTATAGTATGGCATAAAATGTCAAAAAATGTCATATTACAATGAGGCATAAAAACATCGAAAAACATCATAATATAGGTAGATATAGTAATGTCATGGTATAGCAAGGCATAAAAACATCAAAAAACGTCTTAGTATAGTGAGGCATAAAAGCATGAAAAAACATCACAGTATAGTATGGCATAAAATGTCAAAAAATGTCATATTACAATGAGGCATAAAAACATCGAAAAACATCATAATATAGGTAGATATAGTAATGTCATGGTATAGCAAGGCATAAAAACATCAAAAAACGTCTTAGTATAGTGAGGCATAAAAGCATGAAAAAACATCACAGTATAGTATGGCATAAAATGTCAAAAAATGTCATATTACAATGAGGCATAAAAACATCGAAAAACATCATAATATAGGTAGATATAATAATGTCCTGGTACAATGAGGCATAAAAACATCAAAAAACGTCTTAGTATAGTGAGGCATAAAAGCATGAAAAAACATCACAGTATAGTATGGCATAAAATGTAAAAAAATGTCATATTGCAATGAGGCATAAAAACATGAAAAAACGTCATAATATAGGTAGACGTAATAATGTCATGGTATAGCAAGGCATAAAAACATGAAAAAAACGTCATAGTATAGTGAGGTATAAAAACATCAAAAAACGTCACAGTATAGTATGGCATGAAATGTCAAAAAATTGTCATAGTACAATAAGGCATAAAAACTTCAAAAAACATCATTGTATAGGTAGACATAAGCATGTCATGGTATAATGATGCATAAAAACATGAAAAAACGTCATAGTATAGTATGGCATAAAATGTCAAAAAATGTCATATTACAATGAGGCATAAAAACATCAAAAAACATCATAATATAGGTAGACATAAGCATGTCATGGTATAGCAAGGCATAAAAACATCAAAAAATGTCATAGAATAGCAAGGCATGAAAACACCAAAAAACGTCATAGTATAGTATGGCATAAAATGTCAAAAAATGTCATATTGCAATGAGGCATAAAAACATGAAAAAACGTCATA